AACCCCAACAGGGAATCTCTTCCCTGTTGTTCGATCGAATTAGTAACCAATGGTTCGTCGTCGTCGGTGGCTGCCAAGATCGGAACCGATGCGTCCCCTGAAGGCCTGCAACGTCCCGACCCCAGGAGGCATGCACATTCGGAGGTGGTTGGCATGCGCGACAGAGCGTCCGCATTCATATGGCGAACGCCCTTACGGTAGGTGGTTTCAAAATCAAAGTCCTGGAGAACCTCCAACCATCGAGACAACTGTCCCGATGGTTGTTGAACTCGCAGGGCATACTGTAGTGCCGCATGATCTGTGCGGACGGTGAAATGCCGACCGTACAGATATGGGCGATACTGTTGGATGAAATAGACAATTGCCAACAGTTCCCTACGGGTGACACAATATCTTTGCTCCGCAGGAGACAACACCCGACTACCGTACGCGACCACCCGTTCCACGCCATCAACCACCTGGGAAAGCACACCCCCAATACCCGTGTTGCTCGCATCGGTGTCGAGCAAAAAGGGCTTAGAAAAATCTGGGTAAATCAAGGGAGGGGCTTTTACCAGGGCGTCCCGAAGGGAGCAGAAAGCAGCCTCCTCCTCTTGACCCCAGTGGAACCGAACCCCTTTAGATGTTAAAGCGTGCAGGGGTTTTGCAATTGTCGCAAAATCAGCGACGAACCGTCGGTAATACGACGCGAACCCAATGAAACTCCTGACCTCTCCCACCGAGGTGGGAGTCGGCCAGGAGCTGACACACTGCGTTTTGGCGGGATCGGTAGCAATACCTGAGCGTCCCACGATGTGCCCCAAATAACGCACCGAATCGCGCAACAAATGGCATTTTTGGGGCTTGAATTTCAAATTAGCAGCCCGCATCTTTAGGAAAACCGCCCGCAACCTCTGGAGATGTTCGTCAAAAGTTTTACTAAAGACGATAACGTCATCCAAATAAATGAGGCACGACTCCCATTGCAATCCAGCCAAAACCAATTCCATCAAACGCTGGAAAGTTGCCGGCGCTGAGTGTAAGCCCATCGGCAACCGGTTGAATTGGAACAGGCCGTGCGGTGTACGGAAAGCAGTTTTAGGCTTTGAATCATCGTCCAGAGGAAGCTGCCAGAATCCCGAAAGTAAATCCAGTGTGGAAAAGAATCGCGCTCCCGCCAAGGCGTCCAGCGATTCATCCATCCGAGGGAGCGGGTATGCGTCGGCAACCGAAATTTTGTTAAGACGCCGGAAATCAACGCAAAACCGCAACGAACCGTCCTGCCTTTTAACCAGGACGATCGGCGCTCCCCAAGGGCTGGTGGAAGGAGAAATGATGTCGGCGGCCAACATGTCATCAACAGCCGATTTGACATGGTCCTTTTCGGCGGGACTCAACCGAAACGGATTTTGGCGAATTGGCGCGCTGTCACCCGTGTCAATATGGTGACGCAGCAGGTGAGTACAACCCAAATCGTATTTATTCCGACTAAAAACGTCGGAAAATTCCCGCAGTAGTGTTTTAAGTTGTTGACGCTCTGAATCTGACAGGTCCGTCGATCCCGCACAAAGCGCCTCGAGCCACCCTTCATCGCTGTCCGAATGCGGTCGCGGCGCAGGGACAACGCTGACGTGATTTGCGACGGGTTCCTCACATGGCACCGGCGTTGCGTGAGCAAGCACGGTCCCCTGTGGGACCACCACCGTCTGCGAGCCCACATTGAGGACCGCGATGAAGGGTTCACCGTCCCCTCTTACTATGGTCTGGGCCGGAAGTAAATGAGGTCCACTAACCCCGGCCCTAGACGGCCCCAGCAGAACCCCTTGGGCCCCAACACCCTTAGCGAAGGGCCGCCGAAGTTTCAAGGGAATCAACATTTGCGCCCCCGGAGGGACGCGCACCGTTCTCTCTACGAATGCCGGCACCGTCGCGAACGCCGTCCGAGTCGTAACAGGCGATGGCAGAAACGCCATGCGTCTGCCCGACGGGAGCTCAATACATCCCTGGTCGATCAATATCCTAATCGGCATTTTGGCCAGGAAGTCCGTCCCCAGCAGGCACGGAACCGCCAGCGAGGAGGAAACAAAAATCGGCCCAGACAATTTAATTTCCCCAATACAAATTTGGGCACGAATTTGTCCGATGATGCCAAGTGAGCCCCCGTTAGCCGCATAGAATGGTACGTTAACAGGCATCAAAGGACGACTCCGGACAGGGAGAAAATTGTAAATCAACTCCGAAATAATGGTCGCCGATGCTCCCGTATCGACCAGGATGCGTACTTCAACCCCGTCGATGTGCCCCACAATGGCCGACCACCCCGACGATGCGGCTACCACACGATCGGCCAGCACGGACCACTGGCCGGGTTCGATATGAGTACCCGGGGTGGTGCGTGATGGTGCGATGGTGCGCGATATCGGCCCCCCTCTCGTTGCGGTGTTTGAGTGCGTGACGGGTGTGTGCGTGGGCCAAACATGTGGGGTGCCGCGACTCGCCGGGTTATGATGGTGGAGCTTGTGATGAGGCCCGTCGTCCTGTTGAGATGTCGTCCCGCGCTGTCGAGGAGCGCGGCACCCCGAGGCGACGTGGCCCCGGACGCCGCAGTTGAAACACCGCGGGAGCGCCGTTGGAGGAGACGGACGGTTGAAACGGCCCGGCCCGTCCCGGCCTGACCGTGCTCCTGTCGCCTGTTGCGGTCGGTGGTCGACGGCGTAGAGCTCCTCCGTCGGAATGGTGGCTGAAGCCACCGCACGCCCCTCCGATGCCCTGCTGGCTTTCCGCCGCAGTGACAGGAGGTTGGCGTGGAGGAGCCGCGCCGCCTGGAGCGATGTCATCTCCTCGTCCTCCCGGGCGACGACCGCGATGTCAAGGTCGTCTGCCAGGAGGAGGATCTTCTCCGTGACCATCGCGTCCACGCCGTCGTCGTCCATACGAGGGAAGGCCGACTTAGCCATCGCCAGGAGGCTCGTCCGATATGCTAGGGGCGACTCCTTCTCACCCCGCTTGCGGTCGTAAAATTGCTGTCGGCATTCAGCCGATGGTCCATAGACCCCGCCCAGCAGCTGTAGTGCCATCGGTAACGTAGACCGCTTCTCTCTCGGCGCCGATGTGAGGGCGGCGAGCGCGTCGCCGTCGAGGAGCGCCGGCAGCGCGCAGAGAGCCTCCTCATCGGACCATTTCGCCATCTCCTGATGGGCGAGGAAACGTCGGCGAAAACCGGCCCAGTCCCCCTCCGCGCCGATGAACTCCTTCAGCGGGGGCAGTCTCTGATGAAGCGCAGCGGTCGTTGTGGACTCCCGCAGGCTGATGTCACCACCACTCGGCTGTGCGTCGGTGCGAACGGCCGATGGGATCGCCTGTCGCGCTTGTGATGACGTTGCAGCTTCAGCGACGGCGATGTCGGAGCGGATGTCTAGGCTGGCCACGCCCCGAACAGCTGTAGCGTCGATGGCGGGAATTTCAAATTCGGACTGCTCCGAAATGGCGGGAAGGCGCCCTGGTCGTTGGCTCGCCTCGCCCCGTGTTGGATCACCGGCCCCTAGTCGCGTGATGGTCTCCAGCGTGGCGGCAGCGGCATACAGCAGCTCCGCCAGCCTCCCGTGAGCCAGCCGTAACGCGTCTGGCTGCGGCCCCTCTTCATTTCGATGCCCCGGTAAGGAGGCGTCAGGCCCCGGCTGCACCTTGTCTTGTGGAGCCGTCTCGGGCTCGACGATCTCGGCAGTGTCTTCCTCCTGCGGTACTTTGGCCCGCGCTGTTTTCCGCGTGTCCATGTTCGAATTACTTCTGACACCAGTTGAAGTACCGGTGAGAACGCTTGACGCCGAGGTTGAGGCACACGTATGTTTATTCACAATATGACAGTGGGCATATACACACTCGAGGGGGTATCGGCCCCCTCACCCGTATAACTCGGGATACACCCCTAGCTAACTCTGTCCTAGCCCCGAATCCTCCACTAATGGGCTAGGGGAGGCTAACTGGCCCGACACTGGTAAGTCGGGCCCGGTACCCGGAGTTCCAGACCAGCTCTTACAAGAGCACCGGCTCTGGCTTTCGGGACCACGCCGCTGGCTCAATCCTGTCCGGCCCTGAAAAGGACATCGAACCAGGGGAGTCCAGGGCTCTATCTAAGACGTCTTCAATCTTCTTCCCTTAGCTTAACATAACTGCCGAGCCCTTTGAAACATCCCCTTTTATACCCAACCCCTCCCTGAGGGGTGGGGCCCCGGGGGATCATAACGTTCGAACCAGCCCCCCCCCAGGGTGTCTGGCTCGGACGTCGTAGAGGGCACTTGCTCGTGCACTTACGTAGCCCCGCCCACTGTGTTTGTTTTCCATAGGCTGCCATGCATAACGGGCCCTCTCTTTAACACCCCTACAGAAGTAAGGCAGCCCCAGAACGTGGTGGGTGTTTTTCAACGGTTTTACATAACTTGATTCTTGTGTCGTGGTCAAATCTTATAATCAAAAGTTAGTATACTTCCTGTTGCCCAATCAATTCCGAATTTTGCACACGCACTCAGATCTGGTGACAATGCACGCCTGTATCAAAATCGGCATCAATTCATCAATGAATTGGCTCCTTTCAAGCAATTACTATTTTAGTATGGACGCCTTATTATTTATATATAGGTGTGTGTAGGTAAAAAACGCCGCGGTCCCTAAACTCTCGAACCGCCTCGCCCAAGAAGCAGGCGCCACGTGACGTCTTAGGCGCCACGCGTCTCAGGCGTCACGTGACGTCTCGGGCGCGCCTGCTCCGTGTCAACGAGTTACGGGCACCCTCACTCCACACAAACAAAAGTTGTACATTGAAGATTTATTTCTAAAATAATTAATTCAAGTATGCGTTGATGTGGGAGCGGGCGCCGTATCGTTGACGTACTTCTTGACCGTGAATTAAACGAAGTTGTTAATAAAACCGTTGTTTTAAAACAACTTTTTAAAAGGAGTTTTTTAGTTTCTGGACAGACGGCGCGAGTGCGTGGCGGGAGGGTGTCAGATCGTTGTCTTTTTACGTCTTGGTGGGAAGCGGGATCTTGAGGAGCATGTCGAATCTGAGGAGCTCCTGATGGAGCATCACGAAATGCTTGAAGCGGCGCTTGATCTTCCAGCGGAACTCGCCGTGCTCCAGATTGATGTTGTAGACGTTGGGGTTCAGCATCTGCCCGTGAAGAAGAATGCAGCGACGCGGCAAGTCGGTGAGGTGGGGGTGGGATGGGGTGAGGTGGGGGTTAGGTAGGGGTGGGATGGGGTCAGGTGGGATGGAGTGAGGTGGGGGTGGATGGGGTGAGGTGGGGGTGGGATTGGGTGGGGTGAGGTGGGGGTGGGATGGGGTGAGGTGGGGGTGAGGTGGGAGTGGATGGGGTGAGGTGGGGGTGGATGGGTTGGGCTGGGATGGGGTGAGGTGGGGGTGGGATTGGGTGGGGTGAGGTGGGGGTGGGATGGGGTGAGGTGGAGGTGAGGTGGGAGTGGATGGGGTGAGGTGGGATGGGGTGAGGTGGAGGTGGATGGGGTGAGGTGGGATGGGGTGAGGTGGGGGTGGGATTGGGTGGGGTGAGGTGGGGGTGGATGGGGTGAGGTGGGGGTGGGATTGGGTGGGGTGAGGTGGGGGTCGATGGGGTGAGGTGGGATGGGGTGAGGTGGGAGGGGGTGAGGTGGATAGGGTGAGGTGGGCTGGGGCGAGGTGAGGTGGGATGGGGTGGAGTGAGGTGGGGGTGGGTGGGGTGAGGAGGGGTGGGGTGGGAGGGACGTATGGTGTGTCCTAGGTGAGAATTCAAGAGACCAGATTGAGTCTCATTTGCTCGCGTGACGTGGGTCAACAAAATGACAGAAGCAAAAGCATAAACAGTAAGCACAAAACAGTCAGGGCGAAGTCAGTAGTAGGACAGCGTTTCAGAAGAAAATCGAAAATACTCCATCAACACAAATTTATATTAAATTAAATACATTTCCTGTAACGAAAGTTGCCTCAGAAAAATAACAAAAAACCGTTAAATTATGTTACAGAAACATCAACATTGATTTAGGGTGATTATGTCTTAGTATGTAAACAGAGAAGGGCACGTGTCACAGAATCGACAGGTGAGCATCCAATTGTGATTTACATACAATAATGATTGAACGTTCAGATAATATAATAAACTCACAACAGGGGCTTGTTAACTTTGAGAAACTCACAACAGTGGAGAACCCAGTTTATGAGAGGTGGCTAAAACCTGTCAGGAAACCAGGATCTCAACAGCGCCGCTCTGACCTTGTGCCACCTGTAACATGTTGTGGTTTCACGCTTCAACACACCGGTGGGCGAAAGCAGTGAACTATTTGTCTTTTGTCAACGTGACACTTTTTTTACTGATTGGCCGTGTCGGGTGGTGGAGGGTTACGACACATTTATAAATAACGCGATCTCAACCCAAAAACGTTGATTATGTGTAACACTAAAGTCTATTTTACAAATCCAATCTAACCACCTCCTCCCCTTTCATTCGGGGGCAGCGGGAGGCAGGGAGGGAGGGGAGGGGCACCGTGGAGTGAGACGTGGAATCGTAGACGACTCGGCACTTCTGAATCTCCCCCAGAGCAGTGTGACCCTTCACGATGGAGAGCTGCCCACGTGTGAGCTGATATTACTCTTCAAGTGACCTCCGGGTCCAGCAGCGGGTGGCACTTTCCTACTCGCCCTGCTGCAGAGGAGTCAACGTCCGTCGGCCCACACGCTCAAAACCGACAATTCTCAATTCCGGGACGTGGAAATGAGCCAGATCAAGCGTGGAGGCAAATTTAAACCCGGCGAGTAGCAGAGCCGCGACGGGGGGAATTTGGTTGTCATGTCCTCTCTTCATAGTGGGCGCCGTACGTCTCTCCGCACCTTGGCGGTGGAGGTGAAGCGCTCCACGGCCGCCAGGCGCGCCCGCACGGGCACTCCGCCGGGGAGGAAGACCCTGCGCTCGGGCGCGCGGAAGGGGAGCATGCGGTACGCGGCTGTGAAGGGGATCACCGCGTCCCCTAGCAGCGTCAAAGTGGGGGAGGGGGGGGGGTTAGAACAGGGGGGGAGCGGGGTTGGAACGGAAGGGGGGTAGCGATGAAACGGGGAAATGCGTTACGGCAGCGGTGGTAGATAAACCCAGAAGGATCAAATTTTACAAACTTGCAAGACAGCTGATTAAGGGAGGCTCAGCCTTTTTGGTACGGAGGTCCCTCCAATCTCGCTCACTGGTCCCTGTGCCCCCCCCCACCCCCATATTTGCTGTACCACCATCCAGCTACGAAAACGCACACGTGTTTACTGAGACCACACCATAGTGACATCACATGTCCACACCTCGAGTCAAAAGTTTTCTCGGGATACATTTGTTTTTATGTTGTGCTTTCTCATGCATCGCTGCAAATGTTTTCTCCTGCACGGTAACCAATGCCACAGCCTGCCCCGTCTGCTGAAAGACTTTCCCTCCGATTGAGAACCGCAGTCTTAGGGGATTCGAATGTACAACACCGTTGCAAAGACACAAGAAAACGCATGGACTAATGGGTGCACGCGTTTGTTGGACACATACATCCTCGCGGTTTGTATGTATGTATATACTATATATTGACCTTCTGTCGCACCGTACGTAGTTAACCATGCCAATCAGAGGTGCGGGGGTCTCGCGCAGCCCCCATTGGTAAACGGCGAAACGTTAAACATTCGTTGGGGTCAGCTCGGACCGACTCTGTGAATGCAATGGTCGGTGCCGTCAGATTCGGTGGAGAAGTTTATCGCTGTGATGTCTCGTTTCACTCAACTGCAATGTGTCTTTAAGAGTGTGAGGAATTCTAAAGGCAAAGTACAGTGGATAATTTAGAAAGTAATCCAGAAGTTAACAGTCACCAGGTAAACACTTGAGCCTACATGGGCTCTTAACATGGTCGACCTGGTTAAAATGGCCATGAAGTTAATACTCTAAAGTAATGGAGCGGATGGTCTCACTGAAGTGAGAGTTTTAAGAGTGTTAATATTTCTGAGCTGTTCCAGAGGTAGAATATGGGCTGAATATGGCAATTTAATCAAACCGATTGCAGAAAGTTACAGCATCGGTTGGTCAATCTCTGCCTAATCAAATAATGCACATTCGGCGATGAGATGCGTGACGTTCACCAACTTTCTCGTTTAATTCTCCTACGAGTGTCGGTGGTTACTGACCGTGGGCCAGCGGGCTGGACGACTCGGACAACTCGGAGAGGGCCTCGGAGAGATCCTCATCAGAGGCCTCGTCGGGCAGGATGTGGTCGTCGTTGCTCGCGGGAGAGCGAGAAAGCCCCACGGGGCGTTGCATCGTCCTGCAACAATTCACCGATTTTAAAATCGATTCTTGAACTCGCGACACGTGTGACCGGCGCTTTGGTGGCGCAACGCCTGTGAACCAGCGCCGGGAATGCAGCAACGTTGTGAAACTCCCGCGAGCGGAGAGGAGGTGCCCGCACCCTGGCTTGCCTGGAGAAGGCGGTACAGCAAATGTGGACTCCACCCATTGCTTCTGTATAAAATAGAGTGTTGCCCCCTCGCACGCATGGGGTTTCTCTGGGCGCTCTGGTTTCCTCCCACATGTAAACACTCATTAATTGACCAATAGCACCTCAATATATAGAGGACCGCAGAGCTTGGGAAATGTTGGCAGCACCGGTTCATCGCCTGGCTGCTGCCCTCCGGCTTGTTAATGGTTCCTCCTCGCGCCTCTGAGTAGTTCTCTCTCAGCGAGAGCAAGCTAATACTGTGTGGCACGTTACAAGTTGAAATTATTATCATCATTAACTTCCTCTTGCGAATATGGCTTAGTGTAGTGGTTCCAAACCTTTCTGGACCCGCGCAGCACTGTCGACCTTCAAAAAACATCTTTGCGGAGGTTAAACTCTGGCTGTTGCTTGTAATTACAAGCGAAACATCGTACTCGAATTGTAAATGTTGTCGGGTTACTCTCCAACACAAGCGGTGTGCTGATCTAATAACGAATTGGCACGTTTTGTTTAAGTGACAAACCTTACTAATCGGCTTTGTTGGGTGGTGGAGGGTTTAACGAAACATTTATATTCATGCAATCTAACCCAAACAACTTCTATCATGGATAATATTCGTCGTAAAAGTCATACTACAAGTTAAACTGAACATAAAACAAAGCAGCAGTGATACAAATAGAAATGTGAGCAATGAGTCACGTTACAGAAGGGAACTGCATAGACAAAATCAATATATAAATGTCCTGTTATGAAAGTCGGCTCAGGCAGATTATATATATGTCAGTTTAACACATAGGCTTTCGCGACCAATATTATTCATAATAAAGATGTTTAGGTTAGATCGCGTAAGTATAAATGTGTCGTAACCGTCCACAACCCGACATAGCCAATTAGTAAGGGATTTGTTACGTAAACAAAACGCCCATTAGCTACCACTTCAGCCCACCGATGTGTTGGATAGTAAATCCACAACATTTACAATTTGAGTACGACGTTTCGGTGATAATTACATCCAGTATCATCGGGCGATTTGCTGGAATAGTAAAGCAATTGACCTGATTATATGTATTAAAAAAGGTCATTGTAAAAATTAAGTTACAAAAACATTGAGAGTGGGAGCTAATCTTAATATTTCTTTCAGCTGTGAGTTAAGCGGGCCTCATTTAGTTCGTACCAGGAAGGAAACAGGGGTGACTGTATTGCAACACAGCGCACAGGGAGGAAAACATGTCCTCACATGCCAAGCTGGAGCCTGACCATACCAGCACAACCTCGATTGCAGAAGAGCCAGGGTCAAGTACAAACATGACCTCCTCTCACTTCGACTAATCGTCGTCGTTGTGAGGGGTCGGTTTCGGCGAGTGCCGCGGGATCATGAGAGGGCTTAGAGAAACTGGCCCAATGTTCCTCGCCTCTGGGTTGTGTCTCCTACGTTTTGGGCAAACCCTTATTGACGATCAATGTGGCCAAGTTTGCAGTCGGGTAAACGTCCGCAAAAAAAGAATACAACTTCTCGCTGCCTCATATCGCATCAACCTCACGAGATTTATCGTGCTCCCCTCCCCACCACCTCGTCCTCTCGTTACAGACGGGGTTACGGACTGGGGTAATGGCTAAACACGTGCAGCCTGATGTGTTTACAATTTTGAAAAACAAGGCATGGTAGAGGTGCAAAAGGTGTACGTTATAGTACAGTGTCATTCCACTAATATATTGGCCAATTTTAGTTTTCACTTCCTGACCAGTGAATCACGCACGGGGTTGTGCAAAACGCACCCACGCCTTCAGATATAACTTCCCCCACGTGAGTGTGAAGAGCTAAATCAAATCAGAAATCTATACGTGCCGTGATTAGTTTTATGCATGTTGAACTTCTTTCGCACGGCACGTAGCCAATTGTGCTAATCGGAGGTACGTGCGATGCAAATGTCAATTGACACCCGTTCAAAAATAAGATGTTCCATCTCAATGGATTTTCCAGGCGAAAGCCTGGCAGGGCCAACAGACTCACAGGGCCTTTCCCCTGCCAGTTCCTCTGTCCTCCGGCCCATAAAATGTTAACGCGTAGGCTGAAAGCGTTTATTTATTGGCATACGCTCTCATAAATGATATCCAGTAAGAATGCAACAATATTAACTTGCGTTACTATTATTAAAGGCTTTACGCTGTTGCAAACCGGCCTGAATGGAGACAAACACACCTGAGCAAAAATAACTTGAAACGTGTTTTGCCCTGACAGCTACCCATCAGCATCCATATCGCTAAATACAGCCTTGCACTTTCCAAGGGAAACGCGTGATTGGTAAGAATTACATAATCCATGCGTATCCATTGCTGTCCTGGCGGATATGCTCCTGCACCGCAGCAGGATGCGTAGCCTCGTCACAATTCATTTGGACCGCCCGACGGGAAGTCGAAAGATCAACAGGGCCCACACGTGCCTTTATCGATCGACTCAATGCACGATTCCGTCAAACTATCCACGCCCCAGCCCAGCGTTCTATTTAGCCTAGGGACGCTGATGGGCGACATGGACCTGCCGAGATCACTGACACTGACTAGCTCCACCAGGAGGCAAGAGGCTGACAGAGACACGATAAACAATTCATTGTTTGGAATATCCTGGGAAGAGGTGGTCGAGCTCGCTGGAGCTACCCTTCCCGAAGTGCTGTAGAACGATTAATTTCGCGAATTTACGGGAATTGATTTGGCACGTCACATCCCGCTTGCCATATATTGTCCCCGATACTAATGTGACGATGCCATGCATTTCATTTTATAGACGTGTTCGTATGATCACTTGAAGAGAGGGTACAATAATATCGCATTATTTTGCATATGCTTACCTTGTACTGTAGTTGTAGTGCCTTACGCCATTAATCACGACTCAAAGTAAGCAGCTTAGCAGCAGCGTTCTGGAAAAAAACATCGAGTGTGAAATTAAGCCTCGGCTGTACAGCACGAAGTATTTTAATGTCTAAAGCATGCGCTCTGCAAACGTCACAGCGCTGATGGGATGCCATCTCTCCCTGTGGGCACGGAGGGGTTGGGCATTGTGTGCCGGGGTGAGGGAACTCAGGGGGGAAGGGGGACATTTTTGTAACAAGCTACACCATCAAACTTGTTCCATTGCATTACATTTCCAAATTTTACGAAGTTTGTTTGGTTAAGTGTCTTCTCTCTCTCTGTGTGTCCTCGTGTTGTTGCTCTATTATTTACCGCAGTCACGAAAGCTAAAATCTGTCATTGACATGCTGATTTCTCTACCCCCCCTCTCTCTCTGCCCCCCTCTCTCTCCATTTAAGGCCTCGACACAGAGGCGTTGTTTCTCTGTGTGCCTCTGTGTGTGTCTCTCTCTGTGTCTCCGTGTCTGTGTTTTGTCTCTCTCTCTCTCTCAAATTTAGCAATCTTTGGAAGAACGTAATCAACCAGGTAGGGTGTTGACTGTTATGTTAGGCGACTCTCTGTGTTGTATTGCATTATATTGCTAAGTTTACTAGGTTTATTTTCTCTTTTATTTGTACCTGATGATTGCTTGTGTTGCAATCGAAACGTCGTATGCTATTATATAATACTTTTTTTCTTTCTACGTGACTTTACCGAAAGAACCAAAGAGTAAGCAACAACATCATGTTAAGAGCAACAACTCCACCCATTACTCATCACAAAATCGTCGTACATAATCTGAAACATCACGAGACAACGGCGAGACACATCTACAACCGAGGAATGATCCTGCACAGACGTGAACACTGACATCACGTGCAACGTGCACAACAAACACACAATCCAACACCACGTGAACTTAAACGACACAGGCGGTCCATGATGGCGATGGCGGCAGCATAGCGGAGGGCTTCATCCCAACAGTGGATTGATCACGACTGACAACCATCATGATGATGATGAGACTTACATTGATGAAGAAACCAACCGCAATGCACTCACGTTAGTAGTGCAGGAGACGGCAGGTGTGGTCGTTCGTAGATTCGACGTCTGGAGCTCCAATGCGCCACAAAGTCACAATTCGATGGCTGAGCGAGCGAGAGAAACGGAGAATTGGCGACGAGGTGCCCTGAACGAGGTGGCTGACGAGGCAGCTGCATGCAGCCGAGGTGACTGCCGTGCCAACAACTTACGACTGCGAGTCACTGTCAATTTCGTCCACTTCCCAGTAACGATTTGAATTTCCTCATTTTTGACCTGGAGGGGGGGGGGGGGCTTGTGCAGCGACGCGCACTCGAGGGAGCCCCCCCCCCCGCCCTCTGTGTCCCTCCCTTGCCGCGCCCGTGGGGCCAAGAGGGAGTCGGGGATCTCTGCCCCACCTCCTCACCCCCCTCCTCATCCTCCTCTCTCGGGCGCGCGCGTGGCGGTGCTGGTTGGGGAGGGTCCGAGTCGGCAAGCCTCCCTCCACCCGCACAGCGACCATGGGAAGAGGAGTCGGGGAAGGAGAAGTGAGTTGGGGGCCGTCCATAAATGACGAGTTGGTGTAATAAATAGTGTTGCTCCCAAGACAACGTCTGCGACTCAGTTGGACTCACTACACTGAGATTGTAGTGCATGGCCAAATTTCAGGATGTGCCTATTTTGTTGTTTATTGTTTATTGTGCTACATTTAGGAAACCTCCACTCGACGTCTTATCCTACTTGAGGGTGTTGGACTGGAAACTGGACTCCATGCAGAAATTGTGCATGCTCATCTTTATTCTTTGGTTCTTTCGGTTAAGTCATGCCTAAAGATAAAAAAATAATAGCATATTACGACGTTTCGATTGCAACACAAGCAATCATCAGGCATAAAAGAAATAGCAACAAAAAACTAACTAGAAAACTATAGAAAGACATACAAGCAGACAGACATCACAAGGACACACAGAGAGAGGACACATATCGGCTGATGTGTCCTCTCTCTGCTTGTATGTCTTTCTATAGTTTCTAGTTAGATTTTATTTCTTTTATGCCTGATGATGATTGCTTGTGTTGCAATCGAAACGTCGTAATATGCTATTATTTATTTTTTGTATTTTATCTTTAGACGTGACTTAACCGAAAGAACCAAAGAATAATTCCTGCAGTCACGAAAGCTCCAAAATTAGGATTCATACTCATCTTTGCTAACTCTTATCAGCGACACCGCAAGATAATTGTGTTCTATTTTTACAGCTTAACATTCTGAACACCATCAGATTGTGAACGATATGACGTGCAAGACTCTAGTTGACATATTAACCTTATGGCGGGACCCTGGGGTCCCGAATAAACGGAAGTCAAAATTGTAATCAATTAATGTATTTTTGGCGACTCCGTCCCACCGCGCACATAAACGCCGCGACCAACCTGGCGCGAATCATTCTGGTGTCGTGTCGTGTCTAAGCGCGGCAGTGAGGACGAATGCGCAGAAGAGCTGAACAAGCGAATGCACTCCATGCTCGGGTATGGGCAGGATCATGAGTCTCATCCAAAGCTGCTCAAACTGCCTACACGACTTAAGTCCTTTATTTGTCATAACTGTATGCATAATGCGGTGAAACTGCTCTTATCTTGATTATTTGTGACCTACCAATATCTGCAGCCAGGATCAATCGATGACAATCCTATTACCTGCAGATATATAACAGATGAGATGCGTTGCACCGTTAATTCCTCCTGTTTGATAATACTTCTCTTGTCCGTATGCATCTGTGCAGATAGGTTTTTTTTGCGGTTAAGCCATAGTCCAATGCGGATAAGAGCAGCGGCGACCCACTACTCTGTAGAGTGACATTGGTATAAACGCTTGTTACAATATGAACGCATTGAAAACGCGTACTATGTTACGTACTGTTTACAAAGTGTGTTCACAAATCCACACTGAGAAACACGATGATTGACAGAGGGGTGTAAATTATTTTTTCGATAGTGTATTTAAATAGAGGTACTGAAGGTAAGAAGTTTTCAGTTTTAAAGGCAAGGTTTAACAAGACAACACTTGCCACCATCCTTCAAACCCATTGGTGAAAAAGAGAAAAGGTTTGTTTTCATGTTTATGCGAGAGCCGGGGGCTTATGGGACCCCGGGGTCCCGCCATAATGTTCATATGTTGAACTTATTTCGCACCGTCCGTATCCAATCATATTAATCGGGGGTGCAGGGGAAGGATAACTAATCACAAAAAGCGCTCCTGGCAGTATAGGCGATTTTGAGACTGCAAAGCCTCGGGTCCCCAGTGCCCCCCACTGTCAAGGCACTACCCTTGTTTGCGTGCAACATTTTACTGGTAGGAACCTCCTGGTTACACCAGCCCACAGGGGATTATTGTGTCCGTCGTGCAGGGAGGGGCTGGGTGGGGAGGGGAAGGGCTGGGTGGGGCTGGGTGGGAGGGGTGGGGCTGGGTGGGGAGGCGCTGGTCACCCCGTGGTGCCCTTATAAAACTCAACGTTTAACCTACTCACGCCGGCTTGTGCCCGCCCTCACAGTCGGGCATATTTGCGGAAGACACCACGCCGCCGTTGACCCTGGCCATTGACCGAGCAACCCAACGTTCCTACCAGCTCCCTCCACAGGAATGTGTTCCTGTGCTGGAGAGTGTAGCAGTGAACGTTATTCGGACGGAACCCAGGTTTCAACTTCCATTGTTCGAGTCTTGCCCAGGCAGTTTCACGTGTAACTTACTTTACCACGCAGTAGGCTTTCGCGACCAATATTATCCATGAGAGGTGTTTGGGTTAGATCGCGGAAATAAAAATGTGTCGTTAAACCCGCCACCACCCGACACAGCCAATTAGTAAAGTTTGTCACGTAAACAAAACGTGAATTCTGGCTGTCGCCTAAATGATGCTCGTTGTAATTACCGGCGAAACGTCGTACTCGAATTGTAAATGTTGTGGGTTTCCTCTCCAACACACTGGGTGTGCTGTACAAGTAACGAATTGGCATGGTTTGTTTATGCGACAAACTTTACTAAGTGGATGTGTCGGGCGGTGGCGGGTTTAACGACACATTTATACTTACGCAATCGAACTCAATAAACCTCTATGAAAGTGTAACTTGAGAATAGATTTTCCCCTTTTTTCTGGCAACAAAACAGGTGTTAAGATGTTGGCGTTTTAACATCTTAACACCTATTTTGTTGCCAGAAAAAAGGGGAAACCCTATTCTTATATTTTGGTACTGGCAAAGGAGGTCCCATGATGAAAGTGTAACTTATTTAGTCCAAGTTCAACATCCCACCCAGCGCAAGGAGAGAGCGAGAGGCCGTATGCTTTGCTCAAGCAGAATTCTCTGCTGTGACAGGAACATTCAGGCGATCGAGTGCGCGTCACCCATTTCCAGGGAGCAAAGTCCTTGATGTCAAGAAGACGGTCATAATATCGGCATCTGGGAGCAGTGACCCTTATTAGCCCCGAATATCTGTGGCGTTAAGAGTGTTTGGTTTTGTGTCGCCCGTTTAGCTTCGTTGGTTCGATTTGAACTATTACATTTTGTGGTTGCGAAGTGAGGAGTTGGCCTCCCTTTCGTGGGCTTGAGGCTTGCCCGACTCGGGTGGTTCGGCTTATGGGGTCTGGCGATTGGGCGGCTCAGACGGTGCCCCCATCACAAAAACTTCGCAATACTTTCACGGCAGTCATGGCAACATTGTTTTTGTATTATAGAGGAACAGCGTCGCCCTCCTCTCGCCCTCTGCCTCACCAACTCTCCACACCCCCATTCGTCTTGGGCTGTGAAACCACTTCCTGTTAATTTGGGGTCACGGATCGACAAGACGACAACTCCAGAGCGGCACGGCATGCGGCGCAAACACGACGCGGATTCGCGATGCACAACCCTTCTGACTCAACTCGCTGAAAGACGGGGGGGGGGGCGGGAGTCGGGCAGGCATGCTCTATGAATGGAAATATAATTACAATACTGTAATGGGCAAGGCTGTGGAAAAGGAAACTATATTCTAATTTGGTAAGTGGGCGAAAAAAAAAGAGGTCCTTGGGATGCTGAATACTGGCTTCAGGAGTGTCAAGTGAATTCCTTATAGAAAGTTAACGGCAGCTATTTTAAATTTATCTTGTTCCTCTCGGCACTTCTACAGAATTTTGTGCGAATTGACATGAACGGTTTTGAACTGTGACATTCGCATTTGTATTGTTCATGAGAGTTGACATCTGGAACGCACTACGCTTTTCAGAAACAGTCAACAGCACTGCTCGTATAAACACACAAGCATATGGTGTCAAACTTTTTTATGGCCAGTGGTGAAGCAAGGCCCACAAAGACATGCAAACGTATATTCAAATTTGTATATCTGAACACATGCAAATGCAGGAATTCTCATCAGCATGTTCATGCATGGCCTTTGGATAGAAGGGTTTGTTCATCAGCCACGATTAATCTACTCTGGACGGAGGTCCCAAGCCGTCCGTCACCACCGCTCAGTCATGTGATGTAACAATCCACCAAGAACCTGAACACGAGCCAATTTCTAAACAGAGTGGCAGTTAAGAGAAGGAACACGCAGGAGAGGGTGTCCTCCAAGGAGGATAGAAGGACTAAGGGACAAATGAATCCTTACACAAGGAGCAGCAACACCACGTGTGCCGGTTCCCGTCAAAACTAAACACGTCGTATATACGGCACTCGAAAATGAAAAGATAACAAAACCAACAGGTAGACAGCACTCAATTATTTTCGTTCTCGTCATCGCGATTCAGATGATGGGATGATGGGCTTGCAAATCGTCGCTGGAGGCTTTAGAATCGTGAGCGCTAACATTTCCATACGAAGCGTGCCGATTTAACGGGGCTTTTATGTTGATAAGGAACGACGGCAGACATTCATTGGGGACAGAAACCCAATTAATGCCCATTGGCGTTTCACTTTAATGAAGAATAAAACAGCATAAATGCAAAGCAGCCACACTTTGTACTGGGCAGCAGTGCGACCATAACGGTCGTTCTGCATGGAAATGTAACTTTTTTTTACAAACGCATTACACCGTGGTACTTAGGAGTTAGTGGTAATTGTATTAACATTAGCAATGGTGGTTTTTGATGGTCCACGCAAGTGCGCGAGCCATCTGGTAAACCGATTCACCGGGTGGCTTGGCGGTAGAGCGTGCGGATCGCAGGGGTTTAAACACTGTGGGTCGACTTGACCAATCATCCCTCTAGGGTCCACGTTTGAAGTAGCCAACAGTAGTTGCATTATGGAGAGCCTCACCCCCGGCAGGACATAGGGACGTGGAACTTACACCTCCCACTCAGGGTTATAAATACGAGATTAGCATCGATACACTGCCTCAATGCTCATTTGAACAGGATATCACCGACTTGCACAGATATTCACCACCCCTAGCAATTTAATAAACTGTTACAATTTGATTATTTCATGCAATTGTTAGTCACATTTGTATCGCATCTCACCGTTTTGTTTGTAGTTGGGTTTGCTCCGTGAGCTTAAATCTAACATCAGCATTTTGTTCACGTAGTTTATAGCCCTGTCAATCGACTATTGGATGAAGGCCTCCCCACGTAGTGTTGGTCATGTCGGTTGACCACAATTGACCACTGTGGGCAGTGCTGGTTGGTGAAGCGGTCGGCCAGGACCGGTTATGGCATCACTTTCCACGAATGTTAACCATGGCTGCGAATCGAACAGAGGCCACAAAGTTCATAGTGCAGTGCACTTACCCTGGTGCCACCGCTCAATCCCACAGGCAAAACACTCATGACAATTGTCAAACACATCAACAAAAGAAAGAGTCCTGAGACTCGGTGAGACCTCTCTTGAATAAATTAGTGTCATTTATAATTATATGAATGGCAGGTCCATAGGATTGCAACTCCATCCCAGTTGAGAAGAGATCCGTGCGAATACACACGTACAGGTGTTCACGCACCTCTCCGATACTTGTCAAAGCCCTTCCCCGTCAGTACTTTCCATGAACCATGCAAACCAAATCCAAGCGAGCTCCAGTTACGGGGTGGGGATACTACCTGCAGATTTTTTTCCACACGGCCTGCAGCTACATGGGGCCCCCTACCACTTCCAAGCAGCCGGCAAAGAAACATTATAATCCATCTATGCAAGCATCCTAGATGCACGAAAATAGGGTACGAGCGGGGAATGTTTTAACCTAATGAAAAATGTGTTTCTAGGACGAATTTGAAGTGGATAAGAGCCTAAAAAGGCAATGAATACGTAAAGTTCTCATGTTTGACCCTCGGTAATTAAGTCCTAGTTGGCCCTCGGCAATGAAAAGATTCCCCACTCAAACATGATGTTTAATGGTTAGGAAAACCGAAATATCACACCAATTATTAATTCCTTTTCACTGCATTAGGCATGCAAGGGGCAACCAAAAATAGAAGCCGAGAAACATAAAAACTTTCTAACGACGACGAACATTTAAATATAAACATCTGGGTTAAAACCTCACGGGGAGCTAAACTCTTATCTTGCCAACAAAAAAAAACAATGTAAAGTTTGTCCAAGGAAGTTGGTCGGTTGCTTCTGCGAATTTCTGCATCGTGCGCAAGCGCCGTCGCGTCACTTGAGTCGCCGCTGCAGGTTGGGGATTTCGGCCGCCCTCACGGTCTCGGGGATCTCGGGCTGGCCGAACAGCGCCCGCCCGCGGTGGTTGAACGTGTAGAAGGACGGCCGATTGCTCATGTTCTCAAAAGTTCTGCGGGAAAGAACGGCGTGAGCAGGCACAGTGGATAGGTCGCAGTTACTACACATTTCAGTTTCATTTATTTGGTATAGCCCTGTGAGCCATTCGGCTCTTGAATCGGGTGCAATCGCAACAAACAAAAAACATGAACAAGAAAACATCTTAAAGTGACTATGTGCAAACAGAAAATCCAAGAAAAGACAGCAAAATATTGCAGAAAAAGCACCGTACACCAACGCTGTGTGCAAAAATCCCAGTGGGATGCAAGTCAAACAACAACAACAACCACAAGAAAACTTAGATTAAGGCCATCAGTCTAACTCCGTATGACAAACAAACAAACTTTTCAAAATCACCAAAATAAAGCCATAAAAGCAATGTAACAGTGATTATAGGAACTGTTACCGAAATTTCACAATAAACGACATAAACAACATGTACCACCAAACCCTGCAGCCATAGCTGGGTGCATGAGTCATTCCACAACAGCAGGAGCATCAGTCGGAGTATCAAACATTTTCAATGCACCTTTAAGATCAGCACACTAAATCAAAACACATGATCATACTTTGCAGCGGTCATCTGGAAACAACACAGCCCATCGATACAAGTGGCACCGTTTTCTGGAATGTCAAAAGTAGAAGCCAAATCGCTGACACCCACAGAGGAGCCTCCGGGGTTCACTTGTCCCACAAAGGTCTGCATTGAACTTTATCAGTGGCCAGTTGACACTGATTGAGATAGGAGCTCAGGCCATTGTTGTCTTTAAGTTGCTCTATGCAATGGGCCCCACGGTTTCAATGGTGGAAGCTCAGCGCTCTGACCTCTGAGCCAACTGATCACCTCGCAAAGCATTTGATTACCACCTCCCCTACCAAAGTGGGTTGGGGGAAGTGGGGGTTAGGGAGTAGGGCATGGAGAAAGGAAGGCTCATTGCTCAAGGAGCACACGGTCAGATGGCTTGGTGCTACTACTGTTCATGGGTCATTCCTGCACCAACAATATCCGAATACCAGCGGTTATGGTGACAAGGACCGTGTGTGTGTGTGTGTGCTTGTGAGCACTCAGGAGGAGTTGGAGGCGCTTCTGCTGAAACTGGAGCGTGCCACTAAAGAGGTGGGGCCTTACCATCAGCCCCACCAAAACTAAGCACCTGCCTGGGTATTTTGTACCATCAGGCACTCCACCCCCACAACTCCCAATCAGTGATGGGGCAGTTGTGGAGAGAGTGGAGAGTTTCCCATACCTGGGTAGCGTGCTCATGACCGGCTCCGGTTTGACAGCAGAGGTCTCACTCCGAATCAGTCGAGCGGCATTATCTTTTCATTAGTTGCGTAACGCTGTGTGGAAGCTACCTGGTCTGTCGCTCCGCACGAAGCTTCAAGTCTTCTCGACCACGAAACGTGGACCCCCCTAATGGAGCATCTTCGCCGATTGGAAACATCCAGCCTGGCACAAGCGTCGTGGTGACGTCACCGCCACTTAGTGGCGAATGCCGGTTGTTGTTGTTGTGAGCAATAGTAGGGCATATGTGCTCGCGATCAGCACTTTCCCCAGCAACTCGCATAGGCTATATGGGGGATCTTTGTCTTTGGCGAGGGATTAGTGGCAGGGATGGCACAATCTCACCTACCTCCACATTATTCACATTGTCGAGGACCGCGCCTCACAGCGACTAAAATGTGTAACGAGAAGGCCGATAAAACTCGATGCCATGGCAATCAAGTGACCTGAGTGATTCGGATGCAGACCTGTGACATCAAATGCAAGAGAGAGACAGAGAGACAGAGAGCTCCGGGAGGGGAGGAAACTCACTTGTACTTGAGCTCGGCGGTGGCGTCCATGTCACGGAACTCTCCGGCGATGTTCACCACGCCGTACACCGCCACCAGCAGCCCCAGCAGCGTCTGCAGCACAATCTGCACGGCATGGCACAGCGCTCGCTCAAGCCACGTTTAGCAGATCCACGTCAGTATCCTTTAATTGGGCAGTGAAATCGCGTAACTAAATAGCACACTCGCCACTTGTGGCGGAGGTATACAGTTCGAATGCGGCAGGCCCCCTGGTTAACGCCACGGGTGCAATGACCATGGAATATGCGTCATCAGCTTCAAGGTGGGTTTTAAAGATGCCATGGTTATCATTTGAAGAAGAGATGGCATTTTGTCCTGGCGTCGTGGTCCAAGTTTGAAAACAATTACTCGCAAATTAATTAATTGGGGTAACACATACCAATCGTCACTTACTCCAGGAAAACAACCTAGGAGGATTTTCTACTTGAGACTGACTGTTCTGGGTAGTGTGTAATGTGGAACAACATTTATCCAGGAGATTAAATAAACCTGCTGAGACACATGAAACATTGCCTCTTTGCAAAGGGCTGGGTTACATTCAGATAACTTAATTGCACGATATTAAACAGTTATAAAATTGTAAGTAATCTAGACAGTGTACACATAATTTAATGTAAATTTTTGAATAAAGCTATATAAAGAAGGTGCAATGCACTTTAAAAGTGGATAAGCACGAAATTTAATGCAATTTCTGCAAAGGCGATTTCAATCGGTATATAGAGGCAATGGAGAAAACTGCACTAAGGGTTATAAAATGGAAATAAATTAGCTTAACGCAGCCAGAAAACATTAAAACAAGGTTGACTTATCCATACCAAGGTTCTAGAATAGCCCAAAATCGCCGAGTGGACTCTCTTAAATAGAGGTCACACATACTGGACTCAGTATTCATCACCGCAATTAGAAGTCTGGTAACAAGAGGGTATCTCTCTCTCAACACTCCAGTGATCACGATCACACCGTGGAGTGCTTTTCTACGTTTACATTACCGGTCTTCTGCATAAAAAAAAAACTCATCACGTCGTTACACACTGCACGCAATTCGTCAAAGGCTTGACAAAATTAAAACAACTAAGCAAACACAATTTGGGAACTTACGGGAAAACCGAAATCACGATAACTGTTATTGTAGCGTAATTTGAATACGGTGTCATATCGTGAAAAAGATAAAGACTGTGGCAACCCGAGTGGACGGCTGCGCTCACGTATTGCCAGTTGAGGTGGTTCGGGCACCTGGTAAAGGATACCGCCCCTCCCCCCCCGGTAGACTCCCCCTGGAACTCTACCAAAGACCCGGGGGCCGGCACACGCTGGCGGGATGACTATGTCTCTTGGCTGGCCTGGGAATTCCCCAGGAAGAACTGCAGTCTGTATCGTAGTTTGTTATATAAAGCAGTGTATGTAGTGTAGTGCATAGTGTAGTGTATAGTAGTCTATAGAAGTGTATAGTAGTGCATAGTGCAGTCTGTAGTGGATAGTACTGTATAGTGTAGTATTGCTGGAGTCCGTTGCCAGGGAAACGGAGGTGTGGACCGCCGCTACTCAACACGCTGCCGCCGCGACCCTCACCAGGACAAGCGGATTGAGAAATGAGCGAACGAACTTATTGCTTGAAATCACGGCTGCTGCGCCGCACTGGCTGAAAGCCACAAGACGCCAAGCAGCAGCCAGCAACAAACAGCACTTACGTCGGAAGGCAGGCTTTCGTTCTCCTGCTCCGTTAACCTTGTGTACGAGCGATCTGAAAAGAACATCACAGCGGGTCACTTCAAACTGCCGATTGAATTAATACTCAACGTCTGTCTAAAAGACGTGCATGTGTGTCAGTGCCGGATTAAGCAAGTGCGGGGCCTTTGGCATGTTACAAAGGGTACCTAAATATAAAAAATACACAAATATTAAAAAACGAATTTTAAACTTGCATAGTAAAGTAATTATATGTTTTAATGTGCTATACAGCTAGATAATACGACAAATTACTAACCTTAAACACCCGGTCGTTCATAAAAGTTGAAGGCGGTATAGTACTATAGTAATAGAGCAAGTGCAGAATCACTGAACCGGAATTGACAGCTTGGAAGCATTTAGCACGGGGCCCTTGAAAGTGCGGGGCCCAAAGCATAACATGAACCTTATGGCGGGACCCTGGGGTCCCGAATAAATGGAAGTCAAAATCGTAATTAATTTATTTGTGGCGACTCCGTCCCACCGCGCAAATAAACGCCGCGACCCACCTGGCGCGGATCATTCTGTTGTCATGTCAAGCGCAGCAGCGAGGACGAATGCGCAGAAGAGCTGAACAAGCGAATGCACTCCATGCTCGGGTATGGGCAGGATCATGAGTCTCATCCAAAGCTGCTCAAACTGCCTACACGACCCAAGTCCTTTATTTGTCATAACGGTATGCATGATACGGTGAAATTGCTCTATCTTCATTATTACGTGTGACCTACTGCAGCCAGCATCAATCGATGACAATCCTATTACCTGCAGATATTTAACAGATGAGATGCGTTGCACCTCCTGCTTGATAATACTCTTGTCCGTATGCATCTGTGCAGATGTTTGTTTTTTTGCGGGTTAAGCCATGGTCCACACATACCGCTCGTATCTATGCGGATAAGAGGAGCGGTGACCCACTACTCTGTAGAGTGACATTGGCATAAACGCTTGTTACAATATGAACAGCGCATTGAAAACGCGTACTATGTTACGTACTGCTTACAAAGTGTGTTCACAAATCCACACTGAGAAACACGATGATTGACAGAGGGGTGCAAATGATTTTTTCGATAGTGTATTTAAATAGAGGTACTGCAGGTAAGTAGTTTTCAGTTTTGAAGGCGTAGTTTAACAAGACAACACTTACTCTTTGGGTATTTCGGTAAAGTCACGTAGATATCTACAACGCACTGGAAACGCGTACTATATCTACATGACTTTATCGAAGGACCCAAAGAGTATGAATTCCTGCAGTCACGAAAGCTTTAAGTCAAGACAACACTTGCCACCATCCTTCAAAACCATTGCTGAGAAAAGAGCAAAGATTTTGTTAACATTATAATATGTTTATGCGAGAGCCGGGGGCTTATGGGACCCCGGGGTCCCCCCATAAGGTTCACATGTAGCTACTTTTGCTACGAGGATAATGCGGCACTGACTGTGTTTGGGTTTGTGGGGCGCGGTAGTGTGGCGGTCAGCGCGCTGCGCTACGAACCTGGCGAACCGGGTTCGATTCCCACTCACGGCCAACACTGGTGACGGTCCTGGGCCTCCCCTAGGTCGATTCAGCCTCAAATGAGTACCTGGTGCGATGTGTAAACATCGCCACTAGGGAGACAAAGGCGGCCGGGCGTGGTGTTGGCCACCCCACCCCCTCGTGTGCCGTTCCGGCCTTCATAGGTGCTCGCTAACAGCGCTTGCCCCTAGTCTGTTAAGGCTACTCGGGGGATCTTTGTCTTTGTGTTGCTGGTGTCCTTTTGTCAACGCACTGCTGGCCGAGGGCCCGAGTGAAGCTTCAATTTGCACCGCGCGAGTGGCGTTTTATCGTCCACCCGTCAGTGGTTCTGAACGCGTGACGGATGAAGACGCCACAGTGGACTCTGCTCACTCTGCTCGCCTGCAGCGGGGGGGGGGGGTGCGGTGTTTTGTCGACAAGAGGGGGCAGAGCAGGCGAGGCCTGCGCAGCCTGCCGCGATTAAAAAACCCCACCACTATCCACTTCTACTACCACCACCACCCACTCCTACCACCACCACCCACTCCTACCACCACCACCACCACTCCTACTACCACCACTACCACCTCCACCACCACCACCCACCCCACCACCCACTCCTACTACCACCACCCACACCTACTACCACCACCACCCACACCTACTACCACCACCACCCACACCTACTACCACCACCACCCACAACTATTATCACCACCACCCACTCCTACCATCACCACCACCCACTCCTACTACCACCACCACCACCCCCCACTCCTACTACCACCACCACCCCCCACTCCTACTACCACCACCACCCCCCACTCCTACTACTACCACCACCACCACCACCCACTCCTACTACCACCACCACCACCCACTCCTACTACCACCACCACCACCACCCACTCCTACTACCAACACCACCACCCACTCCTACTACCACCACCACCACCCACTCCTACTACCACCACCACCACCCACTCCTACTACCACCACCACCACCCACTCCTACTACCACCACCACCACCCACTCCTACTACCACCACCACCACCCACTCCTACTACCACCACCACCACCCACTCCTACTACTACCACCCACTCCTACTACCACCACCCACTCCTACCACCACCACCCACTCCTACTACCATCACCACCACCCCCCACTCCTACTACCACCACCACCCCCCACTCCTACTACCACCACCACCACCCACTCCTACTACCACCACCACCACCCACTCCTACTACCATCACCACCACCCCCCACTCCTACTACTACCACCACCACCCCCCACTCCTACTACTACCACCACCACCACCCCCCACTCCTACTACTACCACCACCACCACCACCCACTCCTACTACCACCACCACCACCACCACCCACTCCTACTACCAACACCACCACCCACTCCTACTACCAACACCACCACCCACTCCTACTACCACCACCACCATCCATCCACTCCTACTACCAACACCACCACCTCCTACTACCACCACCACCACTACTACCACCACCACACCTACTACCACCACCACCACCCACACCTACCACCACCACCACCCACTCCTATCACCACCACCACCCACTCCTACTACCATCCACTCCTAACACCACCCACTCCTACTACCATCACCACCACTCACTCCTACCACCATCACCACCCACTCCGACCACCACCACCACCACCCCACTCCTACTACCATCACCACCACTCACTCCTACCACCACCACCACCCACTCCTACTACCAGAGGTGGGACAAAGTCATTGTTATGCAAGTCCAAGTCGAGTCTGAAGTCATCAAATTCATGACTCGAGTCTGACTCGAGTCCAAGTCACATGACTCGAGTCCACACCTCAGAGGTGGGACAAAGTCATTGTTATGCAAGTCCAAGTCGAGTCTGAAGTCATCAAATTCATGACTCGAGTCCAAGTCACATGACTCGAGTCCAAGTCACATGACTCGAGTCCACACCTCTGCCTACTACCACCACCCACTCCTACTACTACCACCACCACCCTATCTCCCCGCCTCCCTGAACCAAACCGAACCTCGCCGGCGAGAATGGCGACACCGCTTGACATACGACGATGTGAGGAGACGATCGGCGGCGTCGGTGACTCACGCTGCGCAGCAGAGAAGGCTGCGTGAGCCAGGGCGAGCAGGCCGAAGGCGACCATCGCCTTCCACGCCGACTTGCTGCTGCTGCTGCTCGCCATGACTGCGTCGCGGATCGATTCCAGGATCGAATTGTTTTCTGTTTAAACAGCGGAATCGATTCCGGCGACCGAATTGTTTCTTTTTTAAACAGCGGAATCGATTCTGGCGACCGAATTGTTTATTTCTTAAACAGCGGAATCGATTCCGGCGACCGCGTGCGATTGGTGGTAGCTACAACAATCCATTAATACTGGTAGGAACGATGTGGACCAGACCACCAATAGATTAATGTGTCTGTCCGTCCGTCCGTGTATCAACATCGCCCCCTACTGCAAACACTTGGCATGACCCTACAAAAACCTTTAGACTCAGTGACGCTATCCTGGTAGCAACATCGCCCCCTACTGCAAACACTTGGCATGACACGTGTAACATTCCCTTATTCCCTGAGATAGCTTTTAATTAAAACTTTTAAATTAAATAAAAAAAACTCACAGCGCCCTAAAGCCTACAGCTAGGCCTAAAGCCTAGAACTAGGCCTGAAACTCTCCCTTCGTATCGTCCGATTTGGTGCAGCAACATCGCCCCCTACTGCAAACACTTGGCAGGACCCTACAAAAACCTTTTGACTCAGTTGGGCTTTCCTGGCTTAACAAGTGTAATAATAAACTTCGCTTCAAATTTACTTTACTGAAACGCAGCACGTTTTTTTAACACAGAGACAAAAAACATTTATTAACACAGAGACGAGATACATTTAATCGCCTTATTTTTTTGCACGAAAAGCACGGCGCGAGGCCTAGTGCTGCAGGCTTCGCGAGGCCTAGTGCGGCAGGCTTATGAACACAGAGATGAAACGCAGCACGTTTATTTAAAAAAAAAATTACTTTACTGAAACGCAGCACGTTTTTTTAACACAGAGACAAGAAACATTTATTAACACAGAGACGAGATACATTTAATCGCCTTATTTTTTTGCACGAAAAGCACGGCGCGAGGCCTAGTGCTGCAGGCTTCGCGAGGCCTAGTGCGGCATGCTTATTAACACAGAGATGAAACGCAGCACGTTTATTTAAAAAAGAAAATTACTTTCCTGAAACGCAGCACGTTTTTTTAACACAGAGACAAGAAATATTTATTAACACAGAGACGAGATACATTTAATCGCCTTAATTGTTCACGAAAAGCACGATGCGTGGCCTAGTGCGGCAGGCTTCGCGAGGCCTAGTGCAGAAGGTGGTGGTGGGGGGGTGGTGAGGGCTGGTGGGAGGGGTGGTGTTGAGGGTGGTGTTGGGGGGTCTTTAAATCTCACAGCGTTTCTTGTCAAAACAAACACTTTTAATTACGTTACACTATAATAGAGTAATTTTTTCTTTAACTCCTCTATACCCGGTCGATATCCCTGTACCGGTACTAAGTATTATTCCTACCAGCCCACCCCGCAGGGTCCTGTTATATTCTCGTTGGTTCTTTCGGTAAAGTCACGTAAGCTTTCCCACCTGATGACGGACGCTTGTGTTGTGCCTGAAACGTCGTGATTTATTTCATACCTACGTTACTTTACCGAAAGAACCAAAGAGTATGGATTCCTGCAGTCACGAAAGCTTCAAATCAAGATGAATCCATAAGAGGTTTGTTTTGGGTGAGATCACATAAATATATAAATGTGTCGTTAAAACCCACCACCACCCGACACAGCCAACTCGTAAGGGTTGTCACGTAAACAGAACGTGCCAATTCGTCACTAGTACAGCACTAACCGGTGTGTTGGAGAGCCAAGCCACAACATTTACAATCTGAGTACGATGTTTCGCCAGTAATTACAACTAGCTTCATCAGGCGACAGCCAGATTTGTGGAGAAGTCTACCTGTTTCGTTCCTTATATAGAGGCGTAGACGTGGTGATCACGCTTCTGCACTCTTGCACAAAGTGGGGGGGGGGGGGGAGATTACTGAGGCAACATACATTAGGGGCTGTCCATAAATGACGTCACGCGATTTAGGACGATTTTTACCCCCCCCCCCCTTCGTCACACGGCGTCACAAAAAGTCAGACCCCCCTAAAATATGACGTCACAAAGCTCTGCCCCCCCCCCCCCCAAAAAAAAAACATGCTTCAAATCGCTTTAAACTATTGTCATTGCAGTGCGTATTGAATGTGGCCGAAGGCCCCCCCGATGGGTGAAGTGAACTCCGGGGCCGAGTGTGGGGTGCGCCGCGACTCGCTTCAGGAAGCAGGGAGTCGTGGGAAGGCGGACGTCCCGGGGGCCGCCGTCGAGGAACCCGGCAGCCCGATTGGACGTGCCTCGGTAGGCCGCAGTTGTAGCAGGCGACCCGTCCACTGCTGGACTGGGGTGATGCAGACCTCGCCCGGCCCGCAGGCACTCCGTCCTCACTCTAAATGACTTCGATCACCACAGTGCCACTCATCCTGCAGTGTCACCGAGTCTCGCGACTCTCTCCCAGGGGGGTCCTGCGCAGAGATGTTTGGCCAGTTTCAAATGGCTCACGTGGTTCCCACTTAATGTCTCCGAATGCCCTAAACGCCTTGGAATGCCATCACTTCACAAATGTCTTTCATATTTGATCTGCGTGGGAGGGAACCGGAACAACAGCAGATTATCATTTGCATCAACAAAACAGTTTGCCTCAGCAGCTTTCCCACTCTTTTTTCTCCTGATGACGATTGCTTGTGTTGCGATCGAAACGTAGTTTTTGGTTATTTTGTTATTTTCTTTGAACCTATCTATGTGACTTTACCGAAAGAACGAAGAATAAGAAAATTATTGCCTTACTGAGTTGGAGACAGAATATTGGAGGAACTACATAAACCAGACACCATAATAAACGGAAATAATGTTGCCGAATCGAATCACTATCCCGAATCGTGACACTCCGTCGAGGTCTAGGAGGAGTATCGGTGAATGGTGACAAGCCTGATGGTCGCTATAAAACTAAGCGTAATCATTCATGATGTCTGGGTTGATTGTATCTCGCACACACGAATATCCGTACAGTGGTGGAGCTAACACATTGGCAGGCCTAAGCAGAAATTACTTCAATTTATAAAATCAATCGTCAGATGACAAAGAGATGTGGAGACAACAGAGGACCACAAACACAGAACCAGCTTTTCCACCTGGCCCCTTCCTCCTCCACTATCTCTCCCCCCACCTCTCCCTGCCCTCCGCACTCCCCCACAAACCCCCCCAGACCATCGGAACCCGGCTCACGAGACCCCCCCCCCCCACCCCGCTCGGTTCAGCAGAGCATCATGAGCTCGCTGTGAGGTCGCAGGTGCCGCTTGCTGGACGACAGTTACTCGGATGTGTCCCTTGAGACCAATTAATGAAGCTCTAAATGACGACGATGTCCAATTAGCCAGAGCCATGGCACTGTTACAGGCCTCATGCGGGGTCTCCGAAGCTCCGAGCGCCCTGGTGATTGGACACCGCGCGCTCCGCTCGAGGTTCGCTTCGTGCCTCCAGCACCAATCCCTTCCCTCGTGCCAGCCAAGCCGATAGTGAGCACGTGGCTACCCTGGGACGGACGGGGACTAAAATGGGCTCAGTCATTTGTAAACACAGTGGCCTAATTTCCGTGCGATCTCATTGGCCCATTTGGGCTGGGTCCAAAAAACAAATGGGCCGCTGAGGAAGAATATTTGGGGATGCCGAATATGTGGGGACTCAATGCCAACTGAGAGCGTAAATAAGCAACGAAGCCTACACATTAGAGGTCATATAATATCTTGATTTGAAGCTTTTATGACTGCAGGAATTCATACTCTTTGGTTCTTTCAATAAAGTCACGTAGGTAGAAAATAATAGATCACGACGTTTCGATCGCAACACAAGCAACCGTCATCAGGTGAGACAAATACAGCAGGGTAAATGCTGACGAAGGAGAAAGAACTGCTGCAACAAGAGGTTATATAAGGCATGAACAACTGACAAACGAAGTTGTGTCTGCGGCAGCAGTTACATCGGAGAAATGAAACGACGTGTCTCGGACCGTGTTCGCGAACACAAGGCAGATTTGAAACACGGCAGAACCAATACCTCTGCCGTAGCTGATCACTGTTTTAACACGGTGGGTTCACACGATATTGTTTTTAACGAGACCAAGGTACTCTACAAACCTTCGGGCTACCATCAAAGATTTGTCCATGAAACCATCCTGTTATATAAATACAGACACAATTTCAACTGAGAAGATGGGTACAAACTGAGCAATCATTGGAAGCACGTTAGTAACCGGTTTAGGTCATAACTGGCTATGATGCCCCCTTCCTGCCTGTCGATGTTAGCAGCTCTTCTCGACTCTCTGAGTCACATTCACTAACACAGCTTCTCTCTCCCCCTGCTACCGATTATCTCTGCCCCACCCCCTCTCTATCCTCCTGCCTCCGATCTCCGCCTTGTCTCACGCGCAGCAGTCGTTAATGAGGTACTCCCATTTCTACCCTTTAAAAGCAGCCTGCATCAGCGGCTTTCCTCCTACCTTATATAACCTATTGTTGCAGCAGCATTCCCCTTGCTGTGTTGGTCTCATCTGATGACGGTTGCTTGTGTTGCGATCGACACGTTATTATTATTTTCTACCTACGTGACTTTACCGAAATAACCAAAGAGTAAGGTCATATAATACTTCAATGAGAAAAACTATGTTTTACTCCGATCACATTTGCAATTTCCCCAAACAGACCGGCCCACCGGCCCTCAGAAAAGACCGGCCCACGGGCATGTGATACTGCCTGTAGTGCAGCAACAGAAGCAGTACTGTGGGCACAGCAGCAAGGGTTAGTGGATCGCACACTGATGCTATGCAACTCTCTTCCCCGTGGGTGAGGAATATCCGTACCCTAGCTCTGCCAGAAGACGGCGGTAGAGTAAAGTGTGGACATATATCCTTCTGTCCCATATGAATGGGATAGAGTGTTTCCCCCTCGCACGCGTGGGTCTTCTCTGGGTTGCTACAATTTTCTTCCAAACTTATACAAAATAAATATACTATTTACTATGAAATACATTTAAATAAAATCTAAAAATACATTACGAATTATATTCTTTGAATTCTAATAATTATAAATTGATTCTAAATATAAATGATAAAAATGATAATTGAGAATTTAAAAAATCGGATGAGAATATCTTTATCTATACAGATTGCGCAGCGCTGGTGTGACGCAGTTACAAAGCCATGCATGGCCGCTACTCTATAAACGCTAACTATGATTTAGTTTTAATCACATGTATGATTGTGTGGCGCTGTTGCACTGAGATCCAGCACATCAAACACACATTTACAACACGGAGCGTACGCTGCTTCAGGTCATGAGATGTACAGTTCCACTTGGAGGAGACGGCTTGCAGTGAAACGAGCTGAATTCTACTTTCAAAAGGTAAGATCTCAAAACAGTGCGAATGAGATTACAGGAGAATCGTGTAGTAAACCCTACCGATGCTGCGTTGTTTACTCAAATAAATCCGACCGTTTCGCTGTCCAATTCCACTGTCTCGCCGTCTATCCCAGAGGAGTTGTTAATCTCTCGCTCCACCGCGGAGGATGCGCTCATAACGTTGAAACGGGAGAATCCCACACGACAGCGGCATTGTGCCTGAGAGGTGCCCCGACCTCAGCCCTAACTGCGTGAAAAAAAAACTAAAGATGTAAAACAAACATTCAATGATGAGCCTCAGTGGGCTTTACCTGGTAAGATCAAAACAATACTTTAGTTTTATTGTATATTTTTAAGTGATTTACACTTTGATCATGTTTTGCATTGCTTGTTGTTGTGACGTTCTAATCTACCCTTACTAGATATCTGTAAAAATAGCTTAATAGCTCATCGGGTTCCTCCAGTATAAATAAATATTCTGATTCTGACTTCCCTCTGGCCTTGAACTCGGTGCATGGCGAGTGAGGGAATGGTCGAATTCAAAGAGCGGGGCGTTGGGAGAAAATCCGAGCCGCTCCACTAAACAGTTCAGTTCAAGTCTCGTCACCGCGATGGGATGACTGCAGCAGGAAGGTGAGAGGAGGGGGTTGTGAGGCTGACCAGACGGTTGATGGGAGGGGTGCCACGTCGGAGCTTCGTGGCTCGTGCACAGACAGAGGAGTTTAACTTGAGCCGCAGGTGTCCGGGGATGAGTTCCGGAAAATATTATTTCACACCCCCCCCACCACCACCCCGGAAAATATTACGTAAAAAACTAAGCCCTTGCTCCTGTACGCCGGTGCGGTGTTGAGACACACTTGGTGCGCTGTTCCTGGTGCTGTCCCTGGTGCTGTTCCTGGCGCTGACCCTGGTGCTGACCCTGGTGATGACCCTGGTGATGACCCTGGTGATGACCCTGGTGCTGTCCCTGGTGCTGACCCTGGCGCTGACCCTGGTGATGACCCTGGTGATGACCCTGGTGCTGACCCTGGTGCTGTCCCTGGTGCTGTCCCTGGTGATGACCCTGGTGCTGTCCCTGGTGCTGACCCTGGTGCTGTCCCTGGTGCTGACCCTGACCCTGACCCTGGTGCTGTCCCTGGTGATGACCCTGACCCTGTCCCTGGTGCTGTACCTGGTGCTGACCCTGGTGCTGTCCCTGGTGCTGTCCCTGGTGCTGACCCTGGTGCTGTCCCTGGTGCTGTCCCTGGTGATGACCCTGGTGATGACCCTGACCCTGTCCCTGGTGCTGACCCTGGTGCTGTCCCTGGTGCTGTCCCTGGTGCTGTCCCTGGTGCTGTCCCTGGTGATGACCCTGACCCTGGTGCTGTCCCTGGTGCTGTCCCTGACCCTGGTGCTGTCCCTGGTGCTGACACTGGTGCTGCCCCTGGTGCTGACGCTGGTGGTGCTGTCCTCAGCGACCGTGGAAGAAAAAAAACGAGGCAGGCACTTGCGTGCATTTGTTGTTCACAGCGCTCATCGGCAGCGCTGCGCGTGATGTCATACGCAGCCTTGCGTGGTGAAGTCACTCCAGAGGGCGCGAGTGAGAGCGAGGGAGGAGCGAGGGTGTGAGAGCGAGGGAGAGAGCGAGCGGTGAGGGAGGGGGTGGGAATGATGTAAGCGGTGAGGACACCGACCACCATCCCGCTCACCTCGGCACGGTGCGCACGAACTGGGAGCCGCCCGACCCGGCGCTTGCACGAGTCACGTCCGCGCGCCGCGATGGCGGAGAGCGAGGTGGAGACGCCCAGCACCCCGAGCGAGCTGCTCGAGAACCGCTACTTCGAGTTCAACAATGTGAGGCTGCCGCCCTTCTGCCGCGGCATCATGGACGAGATCCTGGCGTTCCCCGTGCGCGAGGACGACATTTGGGTCGTCACCTACCCCAAGTCGGGTGCGTGTGCTGCTGCTGGGTGCTGCTGCTGGATGCTGGCTGCTGCTGGGTGGTGTAGGATGGTGTTTGACCGGTGCTGGGTGGTGTTAAATGATGCTGGCTGCTGCTGGGTGGTGTAGGATGGTGTTTGGTCGGTGCTGAGTGGTGCAGGTTGCTAATTACTCAGTGGAACTGGTTGGTTGGTGCTGCTGGGAGTTGGGCGTTGCTGAGCGTTGCTGAGCGGGACTGGGTGGTGCTGGTTATTCGGTAGTGCTGGGTGATACTGGGTACTTAGTGATGGTGTGTGCTGGGTAATGCTGGGTTTAGGTGAGTAGTGCTGCGTATTGCTGGGTGCTGGCAGATTTTGGGTGGTCCTGCATTGTGCTGGCTGGTGGGTCCTGGGTGGTACAGGGTGTTGCCTGGTGGTGGATGGTGACTTGTGCAGGGTGCGGGCTGGTGCAGGGTGGTGGTTGGTGCTCGATTGTCTTGGCTGGTGTTGGATGCTGAGGAATGCCGGGTGGTGCTGTGTGGTGGCTGGTGCACAGTTGTATTGGCTGGTGCAGGATGCTGACTGGTGGTGGGTGGTGCAGGGCGGTGCTGGCTGATGGTGGGTGGTACAGGGTGGTCCTGGTTAGTGCAGGCTGATGTTGGTTAGTGCAGGCTGATGTTGGTTGGTGCAGGCTGATGTTGGTTGGTGCAGGCTGGTGTTGGCTGGTGTTGGGTACTGGCTGGTAGTGGGTGGTGCTGCGTGCTGGCTGGTGCTGCGTGCTGGCTGGTGGTGCTGGGTCCTGGATGGTGCAGGGTGGTGCTGTGCGCTGGTTAATGCCGAGTATTGGATAGTGCTAGGTAGCGCTGGGTAGTGCATGGTGCTGGGAGGTACAAGGTGGTACTGGATGGTACTGCGTAGTGCAGGTAGCTGGGTAGTGCATGGTGCTGGGTGGTGCAAGGTGGTACTGGATAGTACTGCGTAGTGCAGGTAGCTGGGTAGTGCATGGTGCTGGGTGGTGCAAGGTGGTGCAAGGTGGTACTGGATGGTACTGCGTAGTGCAGGTAGCTGGGTAGTGCATGGTGCTGGGTGGTGCAAGGTGGTACTGGATGGTACTGCGTAGTGCAGGTAGCTGGGTAGTGCATGGTGCTGGGTGGTGCAAGGTGGTACTGGATGGTACTGCGTAGTGCAGGTAGCTGGGTAGTGCATGGTGCTGGGTGGTGCAAGGTGGTACTGGATGGTACTGCGTAGTGCAGGTAGCTGGGTCGTGCATGGTGCGGGGTGGTGCAAGGTACTGGATAGTACTGCGTAGTGCAGGTAGCTGGGTGGTGGTGGAGGGAAGTGCAGGGTGCTGGCTGGTGCAGGATGGTGCTGGGCGGTGCTTGGGCCAGGCGAGCACCGCGATGAAATGGGCGGGGGCGGTGCACACGGGCGCGCTCAGGCCGCGTGTCGCACCACGGGGACGCAGCCTCGGCATCGCCTCCCAAGCGGCCCTCCCTCGCCGCGGCCGCGCTTTGTAACGATCACAGCCATCACAACGATCCCAACTCCGGGCTATTGAACAGCCGGACAATGAACGCTCTGTGCTCAATTTGTGCCCATTTACTATCACGCGAACGTGGCACACGCATCCCACGTAACCGACGTGCTGTATTCAGCACGTCACACCGTACCGACACACCGACTACTATTTCCACGTTGTGCTGTGTGTGGTGTGTACAGAATATATACTCGGTGTGCACTGCGTGCACTGCGTGTGTGGCGTGTTCTGTGTATATTGTATATGTACTGTGTGTGCTGCGTGCTTATTGGTGTACTGCGTGTGCTTCCTCTATGGTGCATGAAAACTTCGTGTGTGCTTCGTATTAACTGTTTGTACTGCGTGTGCGGTGTGTGCTGCGTGTACTGCGTGTGCTCTGTGTACTACGTGTGTTCGGTGTGTAATGCGTATGTGCTGATGTATGTGCTGCGTGCGTGCTGCTTGCTGTGTTTGTGTGCTACACATGGGTCCGGGCGGTTGTTCTCTTATCACTGTGACGCGGGTTCTGACCACGCCACCCAGCCCACACCCTCGTGTGCCGATCCGGAATTCGTAGGTGGCGCTACTGTTCGCTAACAGTACTCGCCCCATCAGCCTGTTAAGGCTACACGGGGGGCCTTTGGTATTAACTTATTATTCATTTTTCCAGCAGAGCCACGCTGAGTCGTAGGAGTCATTTTCAGAAGGGTTCTGTCAGATATTTATTTAGTTATTTTGAGATGTGTTCCGCCAATAAATGGCGAGTCGTATATATTATTCACGTGGGGAGAAAACCCACACCTTGCGCGAGGGGGTAGCTACACCCCATCCTCCGTACAGATGGAAACAGCTGGCGATTTGTCCACATTTCGCTGCCACCGCCTTCTCCTGGCGAGCCCGGGTACTGCACCTCCTCGACGCCCATGGGTAGAAGGGAGTTTCGCAACAACAGTGCAGTGATCCACCAACCTTGGCTGGTGCTTCCACAGTGCTGGAGGATTACAGGCCGCCACTTGCAGCAGCGGAGGCACCACAGTGGCATGGAAAGGCTGCATAGAATACTACCGACAGGGAGATGTTACAAAAAACACAACTCGTTCACAGCCAGACCTGTGCACAATGGGAATCCCGTAATCGATTCAAAACAACGCGCCTATTGCGGGGACTCACAAACGTGGCCTTTATAAATATCGCGGACTCACAATTTCGTGTCCTATTTCTAAGCCTCTTATTAAAAAAATTAAATGCTCAAGATTCCAGACTCGTACGTGATTGCGGCTTGAGCAGCTGAGAAGCGAATTCCCTCTCAGCGTGCGAACCCGCCCGTGCGTCCTCAACAAGAGGACACGCGCAATGCTAAATTGCACGCGAATCAAAAGCAGTAATTATCTAGCGAATTGCAATCACCATTTTCGTGTTTTGTAACGGGGGTACGGTTGAGATGTCATTGGGAGCTAATTGCTCAATGCGCTCCTGCCGAGTTATTTAAGCTGCCAGCCACAAAAGGCATTGTCACCGTGAGCAAGACGAGACGCGTTAAAGTTTGCTGGGTGTTGGCTGGACCCAAGGATAACGCCATAGCGGATGTAGAACAGAAGTGTGGTGTGTCTCTCTGTGTGTACACACACGGTGGTGTGTCTGTGTGTACTCACAGGGTGGTGTGTCTGTGTGTACACACAGGGTGGTGTGTCTGTGTACTCACAGGGTGCTGTGTGTGTGTACACACAGGGTGGTGTGGCTGTGTGTACACACAGGGTGGTGTGTCTGTGTGACTCACACAGAAACCCCACGATCACAATGCATTTTCCAGTGAGACTGGCCCTTCGGGCATTCTACATTTGCACTTGTTTTTAAGTTACTTATGAAATGTAATGTTTGTATTCAGACTGAAAATTAAAGGTATAGGCACACGTTGAAGACAATGTGTGAGTAAACAGTATAGTAACAAGAATATCAATTATAAGATACGTCACCACTTTTGCCAGGCTAGGTGCACTTTGAGGCCGCCACGAAGTGTCGAAGGGTCTCACTGCTGGCCAGAAGGTGTCACGGAACAGACCCAGGTGCCGTGGGTTGACTGAGATGACTGGCAGATGCCCCTACCTGTGCTCCCCACTGTGCCACCTCGCTGGGTTTTATCTGCCAGGGGCTCCGATCTGTGGTGTGAGTCGCTCCTCTGCCCTCATTGCCAACATTTGCAATCAAAACAATGCACAAACGGTACCAAGAGTGTTTATGAAAGATCCATGAATCATATTAACCAGTTGTGCTAGATTGGCACTGATTGTGCGTCACAGATTGATTGGCAGACGGATTGAGTGGCACACAGTGAGTGGCATGGAGAGAGTATAGAGAGAGAATGGAGTGGGCGGTAGAGGAGAGAGTACAGAGAGAGAGAGGATGGAGAGGGCATGGAAAGCGAGAAAATGGAGAGCGAGAAAATGGAGAGCGAGATCACATGGAGAGTGATGAGGCACGTAGAGATAAATAGTATGGAGAGCGAGAGAGCACGGAGAGAATGGAGAGCGAGGGGGCACGGAGAGAATGGAGAGCGAGGGGGCACGGAGAGAATGGAGAGCGAGGGGGCACGGAGAGAGTGCGCTTCTCTTGACGGGCCCGGCACGGCGCTGGGCAGGCACGAGTCTGCTGCAGGAGGTGGTGTTCCTGGTGAGCCACGGCACCGACGTGGACGAGAGCGCCCTCATGAACATCGACGATCACATCCCCGTGCTCGAGTACCCGCAGCCTGGCCTGGACGCAGTAAAGGTACCCTTCCCGTGACCCCAACCGCTCCATTCCCCTACGCCATAACCAACATACGTACGTATACTCTTGGGTTCTTTCGGTAAAGTCATGTAGGTATAAAATAAAATAAATCACGACGTTTCGATCGCAACACACGCGGTCGACCTCAGGCGGAACAAAAATATAATCCAGCAGTGGAACTGCTGAACCAGCGAGAGAGCTGTTACAACAAGGTTATATATGTGGCGATGGGCAAGCAAGCGGGGTCTGAGCTGGAAAGGAATTCCATCCACGGACGCAAGCACGTCAGTTGTGTTAATGGGGGAGATTATGGAGAGAGGGGTTAAGGAGGGAGATTAGCATGAATGAGCTTCCGTCGCTGCATAAGAGTATCATGCCCGCATATGCGCACAACAGCAGTGTTAATGAGAGATTAGCACCATGAGAGTGCAATCCAAAGGGCATGTGAGCCTGAGAGGTGCAATCAAAAGGACCTGTGAGAGTCTAAGAAAAAGGCATAGAGAGACAGAGAGAGAAAGAGAGAGTCGGAAAAAACAGCTGACTTAGGCAGGTAGGATAGAAGCATCACAGTCAGTTAAGACTTTACCTCGTTAATAACGTTCTTCCAATGATTGCTCAGTTTGTACCCATCTTCTCGGTTTAAGTTTTGTCTTTGTTTATATATCTGGACGGCTTCATGAACAAATCTCTGAAGGTAGCCAGTAGGTTTGCAGAGTACCTCCGTCTTGGAATTTGATAGACGGGTGCATGGAATTGATGTGGTTGAGAAATTGGTTCAGTGCTGGCAGGCCATGTGGCCAGATGACGAACGTGTCATCTACGTATCTCTTCCACAAGGAAGGACGTGTAGGGTGGATGTCTGGATGGCATCTGTCTCAAATTTCTCCATGAAAACATTCGCTACCACTGGCGATAAGGGAGAACCCATTGGGGTACCCTCATTTTGTTTGTAGAATGTGCCATTCCAGATGAAGTATGTGTTGGTAAGACAGTGCCTTAGCAAAGTAGGTACATCTGGATTCAGTCCTTATTGGACCAAGTCCTCAATGAGTGCAATGGTGTCAAGTACAGACACATTGGTGAACAGAGAGACTACATCGAAACTGACGAGCAAATCATCTGGAGACAGTGAGATGTCCTTGATTAGATAAATCAAATGAGCTGAGTTAAGTACAGCTGAGTTGGACTTGCCCGTGAAAGGAAGCAGGGTCTCAGACAGAAATCGGGCCAGTTTGTAGGTGGGTGAGTTAATGGTGGAGACGATAGGACGTATGTTGAACTTCTTTCGCACCGTACATAGCCAACTGTGCTAATCGTAGGTGCGGGGGAAGGACAACAAACTAAACACACAAAATTGGACCGGTGTCATGCCGTGTGCGCACTCAGCCACAGTTGCCTCATCGTTCGTTGTGGCCATGCACGTGGCCTGTAACCCAGTGCTGTGGAGGCATTCGCGAGGGTTGGTGGATCACGCAAAGATGGCTGTGAAACTCGTTTCCCGTGGGCGTCGAGGAGGAGCCGTGTCCTGGCTTGCCAAAAGGCAGCATTACAAAGCATGGGCTAATCTCCATCTGTTCCATCTGTATGTGGATGGAGTGTTGCCCCCTCGCACACGTGGGGTTTTCTATGGGCCCTCCGGTTTTCTCCCACGTGTAAACACGTTTTAATTGGCCTGTATGCCCTTTAATAAATAGATGATCTCAGAGCTTGGGCAATTGTTGGCGCCGGCTCATCGTTTGGCTGCCTCCCCTCTCGTCTACAGTTCCTTCGCACGCCTCCGAGTCGTTCTCTTGTACAAGAGCGAGCAAATCCCATACTGCCCGTTACAAGTTGAAAGTATTGTTATCCTCTTTGGTTCTTTCGGTAAAGTCACGTATAAAAAAAAGATTTTTACTTAGAAAGAAAATAAATTAATTAATAGTTATTTAAAATACATTAAATAAGTTATTTAATTTATTTTCTTTCTACCTGACTTTAGAAATAAATAAATTAAATAATAGTTATTTAATTTATTTTCTTTCTACGTGACTTTACCGAAAGAACCAAAGAGTAATTCCTGCAGTCACGAAAGCTTCAGATAATTATTGTGATCAATATCGTGAGCCTGTGACCGTTGCTGTGCTGCAGGTGCTGCCATCTCCCCGCATCATCAAGAGCCACCTCCCCTATCAGTTCCTGCCCAAGGAGCTGCAGGACGGGAAGGCCCGGGTAATTGAGGACGAGCGCGGCCTCCAAAAGGCTTGGAGCATCGCCAGGATGGGCGATGCTTGTGATGTTAAGATGCTTCAACGAGCGCTGTTGAAGAGTTTTGTGGAATATTTATAAAATACAACACAGAGAGACCCCGAGCAAAGGTCATGCTCACTGAATTCCATACAACAGTTAGGTCAAATGCATTGGCTCTAGAATTCATAGTGCACATAGGTGCACCATCTAAGCAATGTTTTTCATTGCAAGGCCCCACGGGCCACTAGTGGCCACCTTGTGGCCTTTACTGCGGCCCCTGACAATGCATAAATGTGAAAACAACCCCCATAATCGTGCTGCTGTCAAACCATAATGGTTTCAAATGTGTGGCGGCCCTCATACTGATGATGTCTTCGGGGCCGTCCATAAATGACGTCACGAGATTTTGGCCGATTTTTTACCCCCCTCCCCCCCTCGTCACACGGCGTCACAAAAAGTCAGACCCCCCTCAAATATGACGTCACAAAGCTCTGCCCCTCTCCCTAAAACCATATTTATATTAAGAAAATAAAACATTCTTCAAATCACTTTAAACTATTGTTATTGTAGTGCGTATTTAATGTGGTGCTGCACTCTGATGTTGTAGGAGAAAACACGTTTTAAAAAGGAGGCGTTGTAAAGCTGAAATTCAGCATACAATTCACTTGAAAATATTCAACGTCTAACTAAAACTGCAAATGTTCAGAATATTATATTGAAATTCTCTTATAATTATAAAAATGTAAAAGTAATTATAACTATAAAAAATACTTGAAACTTTGTAGTAGAACGAACCAAAACGGAGAGTACAATTATAACAATCACATATTCATTTCACAGAATGAAAACCCCTGGTAGAATCATTAGAATCAAAATGTTGAAAAACAATCATTACAATTTTAAACAAAATTTATGCTTCTCCATTCTCCCATGGAGAAGCAAAATGCTCCTTCATAGAATAAATTAAAGGTGACCTTAGTAAATTTTAATAATCAAATAGTTAATAATAAAAATGTAAACATTTTTGTGTTGTTATAACAATTTTATTTAATTAATGTTTATTTAAAGTTGCGCATTTTGATGTGACGTCACATTTCTCAACCCCCCCTCCCCCCCTCGTCACACATCGTCACAAATGTCTGACCCACCTCCCCCCCTCTAGGTGCGTGATGTCATTTAAGGACGGCCCCTTGTCGGCGAAAGTGGCCCCCCTTTGAGGAGTAGCGAAGATCACCATCCGACAGCATGCAGCTTAGCGCTCAAAGTTTTTTTGCAAATTATTTTCATTATTTCGGTAATCTTAACCGGCTCAGTCCGAATTTTGGCAAACTCAAGTCCAGATTTTGGAGGGGTTTATTTCCCAGGGTTGTAATTGTATGTTGACAGCAGGAAACCCAGAGCTGCAGGTCTCTGTTGAATACTCCTGTGGGAAATGCGTGCTCTCCATTGAGCTAATTCACCCCACCCCTTGCCGTGACAATACGTGGGTATCCACAGCATGCGCACGTATCAATATTGAACGGCGTTGCCACGCGTACTAATGCGTAGGTCGCCTCCAACTACCACGTTTTGTACATCCCGATTAAACGTGGAACTTGGGCTGTGAGTCCAATGGTTCCAACGACATGTTATAATTGGACCAACGTTGAACCAACCACATGTCAATATTTGGACAATGTTGGGCCAACATTGATTTAATCACATGCCAACGTTGGGCCAACGTTGATCTAACCACATGCCAACGTTGGGCCAACGTTGATATAACCACATGCCAACGTTCGCCTGACGTCCGTTTATTTATGCGTCCCATGGCTAGTCGGTGGTGACACGCGGTAATGTCGGCACGTGCCCGTGGCGCTGCAGCTCGTGTACATGGCCAGGAACCCCAAGGACCTGGTGGTCTCCTACTACCAGTTCCACCGCTCGCTGCGCTCCATGAGCTACCGGGGTACCTTCCAGGACTTCTGCCGCCGTTTCATCTACGACAAACGTGAGAGCCGCCATGCCGCCTCTCACCCATCCACGATCCACTGCGCCTGTGCCGCCAAACTCCAGAAGCGTTTGTCTGCGATCCCCAGCCGATACCTCCCTCCCAGAGACAAAGATCCCCTGTATAGCCTTACCAGACTGTCGGGACAAGTACTGTTAGCGAGCACCTATGAAGGCCGGCACTGCACACGAGGGCGTGGGCGGCCAGCACCATGCCCGGTCGCCTTTGTCTCCCTAGTGGAAATATTTACACACTGCACCAGGTACTCATTTGAGGCTGAGTCGACCTAAAGGAGGCCCAGGACTGGTTCAGATGAACGTCACTGGTCTTGTCCATGAGCGGGATTCGAACTCGGGACGCCAGGTACATAGCGAAGTGCGCTAACCGCAACAGCACCACTGCTCCCCTTATTACTCCCCGCTTCCCTATTTTGCCTGCACCATCGCTGCCTCCTTTATTTGCTATCCCGGCACAACTCTTTTGGCTGACCATCAAACGAAGATGGTCACAGCAATCGCGCACTGTCAGATGCTTGTCTGCGGCCGTCTGGAACGCGCGTACTTCCGATATTAGCAAGCCACTGGAGCTGTGCATTTTAAAATCTAAATTGAAAACTCATTTCTTTAGAACTGCTTTTGTGTTTAGTTTGTTGTCCTTCCCGCGCACATCCAATTAGCATGGTTGTATGTATCTTCTTTTGCACCATATATAGCCAATCGTGCAAATCGGAGGTGCGAAAAACGTTCAATCGACATACATACTTATACCGTATCTGTGACTCGATATCCCTTGCCTGCAGTCCATCCATGAAGGACATCACAGGTTCCTCAAATCCGTTGTGAATCTCTTTTCGAGGCTGAGATTTTTGGCAGTCCCTGGCAGTGTTGGCTCTAGGGCCCAACGACCGTGCCAACATCAATTCCGGGTCGAACTCTGGGGGGTCACCTCTGAAGCCGTCCCTTGGCAGCTGTGCCCTCCCTTGGTGGCCATGCATCCCGTGGCCAGACAGCAACGTGAACGGAGCGCCCTCTCTCTCTCCCGGTTGGCGTGGGCCCAACGCCACGGCATTCCCTTCTGCGTCTCATGCCTTGCTCGCAGTTCACATCCGGGAGCTCTGCAAATGCGGCGGCAATACTCTGGCCAAAAGCCTTAATAGCTCAATCAACTTTTTGGCAATTAAAAATTTCCCCATTGAAAATGCCCCAAAATATTTCGTGTGAGCAGAAGAACGCATGGCGAGAGCAGATTTTGATGGGACGCAAATTGGGCTTCATGTGCATTTAATTTCTTCATGACAAATACTCCGCAACTCGTATTTCAGGAGGCCGCTGCATTAGGGAGGCCTTCATTCAATTGCAGAATAACCATGGCCGATGACAATGATGATGGAAAACAAATACCATTCAAACAAGGCCGAAAGCTCTCTTGGTACAGCATTGCATGTACAATGCTTTGTGTTCAATTAACAAAGAGGCATATGAACTATCTGCTGTTTCCTTCTCTCTTTCGTCCTTACATTCCCTCTGCCGGCACCACCACCACCAGTGGGCTATGGATCGTGGTTCGAGCACGTGCAGGACTTCTGGGCACACCGCAATGATGAAAACATCCTCTTCGTGAAATACGAGGATCTGCACATGGTTTGTGCTGCAGCGCCCAAGCGCTCGTTGTCTTCGCGTTACGCGGCAAAATAGCCGGGCGGTGGTGGTGAAAGCTTCCACTTGCCTGGTATGCAGGAGGGTCGTGGGTTAAATCCCGACCCTGACACCTATATATTTGGAGTTTGCATGTTCTCCCTGTGATCACGTGAATTTTTATCCACCACACCTGTCACAGAGTGAGACTTTCAGCGACTAAAAATAGCACTTCTGGTAATTCAGTGTAGACGCATGCGGACGATGCTAGGAATTCAGACTTGGATGTTTAGAATACAATATGGGAATACAGCATTGTAGATGCAATAAGGAGGAAGTTATTCTGGGTGGGACACGTGTGTAGAGTGGAAGATAGGGTAAGCAACTTGGAGGTTGAGCGGTGGCACAGTGGTTCACGCACTGCGGTGTATGAACCCAGCGATCCACACCCACCTCCTTACCTACCCACCCACTCCTGTTGGGGTTGAGTCGTGGGCATAAGATGTCAACTACATCGAGAACCCTCCACTTCCCGACACGGCCGGGCAAATCGAGTGGTCACGTGATATCGCTTGTCAGCGCACCTGGCGGTTCGTAATGTTGCAACGCACGTCCGCATCTACTCAAGGGCCCGGATCGGAAAGCACTTTTGATCTAGCGCCGAGCTCCTGCCGACGCCTGATGACGCTGCGCATAATCTCCAAAATCCTCCACATAATGCTCGCTTTTCAACGTAACCGGTTTTGCTGGGAAAAAAACGCATCAAATCGGCACATTAGTTAGCCTGTTTCAGGTGGTGGAGGGTTCTAGCTCTGATATTACACCCACACGAAGGTATAAGCCAAGAGAGACCAATCGTGAATCGGTAATGACGACCGATTTCTGGGCTAGTTTGCAATTCCGACCGCCGCGGCACGCGACCGTTCGTTGCGTGTCATCCGTGGGAAAGTATTTCAGGAGGAGGGGGGAGGAGGAGGAGGAACATCGGAATTTCACCGTTTGCTGCTGTCGGTGCTGCAGGACCTGCCCAGGGTCCTCGGGAGGCTCTCCTCCTTCCTGGGCGTCTCCTATGAGCGAGCGCACCTGGAGGGCATGGTCGCCTACTGCCAGCAAATCATCGACCACTGCTGCAACACCGACGCACTGCCCATCAGCCGAGGTGCCGCCCCAAACCCCCTCCACCCCTCCTCGCCCCCTGCCCCCCCCCTGACCCCAAGCCGGAACACGCAGACTGCGTAGCACCTACCATTAGCACGGTTGGTTACGTATGGTGCAAAAAAACTTCAACATCCATACACACACATCTCCTGAAACATCTCTCATTCACCCTCTTATTACAGTCGGATGTAGAAGCTTTCTGTCAGCTCCTCCTTTGCCTCCTGGAGCATTAGGCTGAAGAATATGGCGAAGAGTGTACGTGCCAGCACGCACCCTTGCTTGACCCCATTGTTGATGAGGAAGCTGTCTGAGAGGCTTCCGTTGTGTTTGACCTGGCCTTTCTGTCCGACGTGTAGTTGCTGCGCGATTGTACGGAACTTGGGAGGGTAGCACCATGATAGCTTCCTTGTCTGTCACAAGGGTTGTGCCATCTGATGGTCATAGGGGGAGCTATGTCTGGTGCGAGGGTCCATACACTGAGCATAGGGCTTCACAGAATGCTCGTGACCACCACTTCTGCATACAGCTGTGTCCTTACTGCGAGGTCTGTCCACCAGCTGTTCTTGAAGACTCTCAGCTTTGTTTGCAAGGTTTTGTATGCAAGGCTGTATGCAGCTTTTGTGGCTTGGTCATTGGGACAGGCAAGTAGTCTGGAATGACAGGACCGTTTAGCCTGGAGGAGTGATTTGATTTCCGGATCATTCTCATCGAACCAATCTTTGTGTTTCCCTGTTGAGAATTCCTCTCTTAACAGGGGGAGCTTCTCTACTTGGATCTTCTTGGGGTGCAGACCTTTATTCTTGTGTGGTGGCTTGATCCTGAGGGTGACTTTTGCTCTGACCAATCTATGGTCTGTATCGCAGTCGGCGCTGGGCCTGACTCTGGTGTGTAGTATGTCCCTTGCATCCTGTTGGCGAACAAGGATATAATCCAGTAGATGCCAATGCTTGGAGCGTAGGAGTCTCCACGTGGTCTTATATCTGGCTTTTTGTTGGAACAATGTGTTATGCAGAGGTTGTGTTCTGCGCAGAGCTCCAGTAGCACTCAAGCCTTTCCACCACATCAAGGTGAGGATCCTTGGAAAGAAACTTAATATGAAGCTATCGTGACTGCAGGAATTACTCTTTGGTTCTTTCAGGAAAAGTCATGTAGAAAAAAATACATGATGGTGTGCGTCTCTCTCTGCTTGTATGTCTGTCTGTGTGTCTCCGTGTCTATGTTTTGTTTCTCTCAAATTAAGTTATACATGATGACGACTGCTTGTATTGCAATCGAAACGTCGTATTATATTATTTAATTTATTTTCTTTCTACGTGACTTTACCAAAAGAACCAAAGAGTAATCCTTGGAAATGTGACAATCCTTGAAAATTACACAGATAGCCATAGTTAAATAGCGAACCACAGAGTGAGACAGAGATCAGAGAGTTACATAGAGATGTATAGACTCGGCTGGCGAGGCACACTGAGCCCAGCAGCTCTGTTACAATGACCACCACAGCTCAGGACTGTCACCATTGGCAGGAGCTACAGGGACATGGCTCAGATGTCAAGGGACATAAGCCAATCAATCACGTGAACTCGCAGACGCTTTTGGCTAGCCATGGAACAAAGACGGTCACCGCATTGCACGCTCTCAGTTATTTCCAATATTAGGAAGCCACTGGAGCCATGCACTTTTAAATCACATAGATTGAAAACGAATTTCTATAGAAATGCTTTCTGTTTAGTTTTTTGTCCTTCCCCAGCATCTCCGACTAGAACGTTTGGCTACGTACAGTATGAAACAAGTTCAACATTCATACAAATACAGGAGACAGTTGGACCTTGCAGTACGTCACTACACATGCCAAATAATTTTGTATATGCTGCAGCTTAGTAATGTTTTTGGCAGACGTCCCAGAGTAGTGCGTTGCAATAATTGAGCCTCATCGATACTATGCTACACGACACCGTGGTGGCTATGTCACGACTCAATAGTGGTCAAAATGTGTCGTAGATCCCTGATATGAAAGTTTCAGGATCTAACGATATTTTTCACGTGGTGATAAAATAACATTCTGGTCTAGTACGGTGCCAAGGTTCTTTAGATGAGTAGAATATTGAATCCTGGAGTCTGCGACCGAACACACCCGATCCTCTCATATGTTTTTCGCTCGAGTACCAACAGCGGCTTTTGCATGTTACTCTCCCCATAGTCACGTGGATTTTTCTCCAGATCCTCCGGGTTTTCCCTCTACATTTAGAAACAACATGCGTTTAAAATATTTTGCTGATATAGATTTCCACGTAAGCCACTTCGTTGAGCCAGGTCGCTTCTGAAAAAAGAGCTATATAGCTGTGGGCTTTACCTGGTAAAATATTTCGTATATAGTTTATAATATTAACTTATTTTTTTAAACAATTGAGTGCTTGCTCCACGTCAGAGCAAGCGAGGCCAGTTCTCCACTGTGGTTGATAAAAAAAAAATCATTACAAACCTCTGCGTGACATCGACCCTCGTTGTACAAAATGGATGCGAATGATACACAAGCAGAAGACAATCTCAGTGTTGGCTTTTGGACCGAGTAATTACCTTGGGTCAAGTTCAGGTCGATGAAGTAGTCTTTAACAATCCCGGAGTTTGTAAGATTAATTTATTTTCACAATCATTGTGTATCATTGTGGAAGATATATAAAATAAAATAAGCAGACAATATCTCAATATCTCCTGCATATGCCTCTCCCCACAATCTATTTTAAAAGTATTTATCCTCACACAACCCATCAGCCGCATGGCGTTATGGTTGTGCATACATTCATCAGTGTTTTGCTTGTCTTGAATCAATGCTGCTGACATTAAGCACTTCCAGATTGGGTTGTTTCAGGAGCAATCCTTCAATTTGTTTGCATGGAGAGACAGATATATATAGTCTACTCACCTATTTTGTAATTTCCCCAAAGTTTAAACCCTTTTAACTGAACCGTTTTTGTTCTGTTCCTCCACTTTGCAGTTGGAAGCCTGCAGCAAGGTACGGTGACAAGTCTCCCTATGTTCTATTTCATCAGCACCGCAACCGACATCCAATTAAACTTTTCAAAGACGCACTCTCCTCCTACTAACCCTATTATTTAAAGCAGAGATCAGGGGTGCTGCTTATATTCTTGTGTGTGACCGGATCTGTATAACTTTATTAACACCAGGCACAAGCGTTAGGTGCATCTGACTTTCCGAAGCATCTTATAATCCGGGGAATACAGTAATAGTAATTGTGTACTGTAGTTTTATATACTGTATAGCATCTCTTACAATCGCCGAGAAACCACAGCCAAAGCAGCAAGGCAGCAGCCATGGTGATGAGCCGGCACTACCATCAATTCCCCAAGCTCTATATATCAGCCAATTAATTAGTATAACACGAAGGCTTTCGCGACCAATATCAGTCATAATATAGTTTTTTTTGGGAGTTATATCGTGTAAATCTGAGTACTGATCGTAAATGTGTACTCAGGATTGTAAATGTTGTGGATTTGCTCTCCAACACACCGGTGAGGTCTACTCGTGTTGTGGCCGACTTGGAGACGTCACTTCTTGGAGGCAATTATTTAATCAAACACCGAGCACACCGTGTACACTATATACAATACACTCCTTTCGCTGTTACACTATCTGTCTATAGTATATACGCAACTCTACACTGGTTGCTAGCCTACACACAACGCTAGCCGTCCGACACTGACGGCGCTGAACTAAGACAGCCAACTACGTCTAGCAGCGCAATTATCAAGTGGATACGACAGCGACGAAGGCACGAGACGACAGCGGCGACAGCGGCAATGGTGACGATCTTCAGCAGCAACGACAAGGATCCCACTCCAAACAACAGCCCCGAGCTCCTGCTCGGGGTCCCCTTTTATCCTGTTAGCGTGGCCTCACTTCACCCCGGCCACGCCCCCCTTCTGGAACTACTAGCGGGCTCTCGACGTGTCCCTTCCATAACTTTTACCGGAGATCCTTCTCGGGTCCATCACGTGGCCTGCTGTCAGTCAGGGCTGCTACAAGCTGCAGATCCCCTTCCCTGCCAGCAGCCAGCGCTATGCTACTTAGTGACCAATTCTATGTCAGTACACCAGTAATGAATTGGCATGTTGTGTTTATGTGACAAACCTTATTAATTGGGTGTGTCAGGTGGTGGCGGGTTTAACGACACATATTTACGCGATCTAACCCAAAAACCCAATATATTATGAATGAATGAGTATTTAAGCATGTTTGAGCCTAAATGGATGTTTACAAACAGCCGCAAAACGTCGTGGTGGGTGTTACAATTAAAATCAGCTTCACTGGCCGAGCGCGGCACCAGGTGCCATCCCCCCAAGTGAACGTGAAATCGTTGAGTTAACGTTGGTCCAAGGTTCCAAACCGCATGCCAACATAGGTCCGACGTCGGCTTGGTTGATGCGATTGTAGTCTGTGCACGTCTCCCCCCGGCGGGCTTGCGTGCAGGCCGCGTGGGTCTCTGGAAGGACATCTTCACCGTCTCCATGAACGAACGCTTCGACAGCGTCTACCGCCAGAAGCTGGGCAAGTCGGACCTCACCTTCGACTTCCAGGTGTAGAGTTGGCCGAGCGTTGCCACCGCCAGCTGCGTCGCGGCCTCCAGATGGGCCACGCTCGTACCCACCGCTACTCTCAGACCATCTCCAGGCTACTTTACGACGCGTGTATTAACGACGATAATAATTGGGCACATTTGCTATTTCGTGACGCTCTTTAAAGAGCAGGACGACTGTCATGACAAAAGCGCTACGTTCCACATAGTAGGGAGGCAGTGTTGCTATGTGTAACCCAAATTGAGAAATGTTAGTAATAATTCAAATTTGGACCGATTTCTCAGTGGAAGTTTCAAATGTAGTTGTTGTTTAACCAGGTGACAACTTACGAGATTGGGATACAGTAATACCTCGGTTAACGATGTAGATGCGTTCCATGATGTCACTTCGTTATCAGAAACTCGTTACCAGAGGTCAATATAACATAGGAGGCATAGGGATGCATTGCAGGACTTCAGAGAAGGGGGTGCAATCGACACACATTGCTGCACAGTCGCCTTTCACTTTGTCTGCTTGGTTTATAAAATGGTCTTTCAGGTGGACTGCGTCAACCCTCACCAACATGCCCATTCACTTTTTATCTCTCCTTCCTCTACCCTCCTTATACCCTGCATTTTCGTTTCCAAAGAAATTGATTTCCACGCTGCACTTCTTGCCCAGTAAGGCCACTAGCACGAGATGTTCGTTGTTTGGATGACATAATGGGGTTAGTAAAAATCACTTTAAAACTGTAAAAACCACGATAACGTTTCACCAACGCGAGGAGCTTGAGCAATGGCAGAGGGAAGAGTGGGAAGCGCGCCGCTGATTGGCTGCTGATCATGTACAGGACATAAACCCCACTCGGTTGCGTCTACAGGACACACGTAGCATTTAAAAGTGTCCTTTGTTGCAAGGCCTGTTGCAAGGCCTGCAGGCCAATGGTGGCCCCTGGTGGCGTTTAGTGCGGCCCCCAACGTGGGGCCCCCGACAATACACAAATCTGAGAACACCCCCATCATCGTGCTGCCAAACCCAATGTGTGGCGGCCCTCACACTGGTATCTTATCGGCGAAAGTGGCCCCCCTCTGTAAATTTTTGAAGAATACGGATTTAAAGCGTCACTCTTTAAAATGTATTTGCATCATTTCTGAATATATTTTTATTTTTCTATTATTTTTTGGCAAAAATAGGCGGGTCGAAGGAACCCCCGGCCGACTTCGTTCCCAGAGGATTCGTTAACCGAGGTATTACTGAGCCTAATTTGCAACAGTGACATGCGGCATTAGTCTGCCAATAGGAGGTGATGATTGCTGGTGTGTAAGTCCCAGTTTAGTAATTTGCGGTGTCATTCTCGCATTTGGCAAAATTTTGATCCGGACAACAGCACATGATGGCCGAGTGTCGCAAATAACGTCACGGTAATGGCTTTTTCATAGCACCATTTATGAAGGGCCATTGCCCAAAACGTCACATTATATTTCTTCTTTATTGTTATTTGTTCTTATGCATCACCGCCAGGTAATGTGTTTAACCGTTTGCGCAGCGGGTGTCGCAGCCTTTCCCCAAATGGCACTGTACGAGTCAGAATCTGCAAGCTCTCTGGATGACAGTTTACCAGCGTGTCGTGGCAAATGTGGAACTGTCGAATCGTGATTCCCGTTTGTGTAGCTCGAGAACGGATGCCTTCAAAGATTTAGAGGTAAACCAAGGAGATGGATGATCAAGAGAACCATGTTACAGGATCACGCCAGTTTCCCAGTTAACATGGAACTTTGGGCCAACCACATGGCATCGTTGGGCCAACCACATGGCATCGTTGGGCCAAACACATGCCAATGTTGGCCCAACGTTGCATGTGTACTGGGCTCTTATCCTTTACAACTTTAATAGGACTTTTTGCCAGCCGCTTAGTGTTTTGGGCCTGTGGTGCCGAGCTCGGCAACAGTAAAGACAAGCGTATATAGGCGGTCCCCGCTTTCACGATGTCACAATGCGCTCCTGGTAACCCTGTCGTAAATCTAACCACTATTTTCCCATAGATGGTAACCAGTAGAAACACCACGTGCCGATTTGTTTTTAATTTTATCGGCCATAATTAACAGGGTTCAACAGGTAAACATCCACAAAAACACTTGAAACCAGACTATGTTCAAATATGTTTGAAGTCGTGTCGGAAGATGAATCGTAAATCAAGTTTCTGTGTCGTAAATCAATGGTGGCATTATATAAACGTAAATGTGGACCATCGTACATCGAAGACCACATATATTTGCTCTGGGAAATGTAGTAACACAGTCCAGGGCAACGTTCCAAATCTCAGACACCACAACTCAACACCATCGCACACCTACACGTACATTCGTTAGCACCGGTGATCGGGACCTCTTATATTGTTTGCCTGGCAAGAAAGGTTTACCATTTATGCAAAACAAAGAGACTGATTTATAAAACAAATATCACAGCTTCAAGTGAAATTATAATTATTGAGCGTCAATGAAGGAGAACAGAAGTTCTGTAGTGTCGTAGACCCGTTGAGACACACGATACATTACCTCCTGCAAGGGCGACCAGCAGTACTTTTTGGCGGGAACATGTACTGCGACCCACCAGTGGATTACTAGAGATTCTGTTGTGGGTCTCGTGATAGATCAGAACAAACACCGACATCGTAAGCGCACAACAGTTTCCGCTGCATCCGACGGCAAGTAAAAATTCCCCGATACAAATCCATACGTTCAAAGTATGATAACTTGCACCAACGCATGGTGCTCCTCCTTGCTACATCTGTCGTATATCACAGGGTTAAATCCACCCGGGTAATGTTATTCGTCGTAGCTTTCTGGTGGTGGTGGATCGTCGTGGAGGAGCAATTTGAGATTCACCGGAACGGATCGTCACAGTGCTTTGTGCATTGGTCACCGCTGCTTTAAGGCGCTGCTGGACCGCCTGCGGGAAATGTTGATGTTGAACTGCAGCAGCCTGCAGAAGCTAGCTACACTCAGCTAACAGACACCAAAGTACAAACCTCGAAATAATGCATTGCTTTCCCCTGCCTGAACAATTAGTGTTCTGTCCAGAATGCATTTCCCCCCAATTATGGCTTGCTAAACTGGATGTGTGTGCCGTGCAGTAATCTAGCTATCAGCTCAAGCCTCCCATAAACGACGTGACGTGTGTGGTCAGCCCCACTCTGAACCTCTCCCCACCGCTTGCTGTGAGAACAGATGCCACTCCTCCTTCATGCAGCAGCGGCGGCGAGACCCTGATGTGGCCTCCTCCTCCTCCCATCTCTCCTGAACCCTTGGCTCCCGTTTCTTCGATCCTTTTTCTCTCAATCCCATTCCTTCTCCGCTCTTTTCCTTTTTTCCATCGATTTATTTTCCCATGCATTCTATCCTTGACTCTCATCCAATTCCCGTGCTGCGTGCCACGGGTTATAAAGTATTGTGCAGTGGGTAATTACGTCAAACGTAAAGCTGGAGTTTTGTCTTTTGAGATCTTTGCTTTCCACGTGTGCCCTCTTTGCCGACAGGTGCTGTATTTACTTCCTGTGACTCAAAGTGTTGTGAGGAATTCTTCGACAAACTGCGGTGCATATTGCCGTGGTCACGTAGAGCTGTTCGCAAATGGTATACGTGTACAGTGTATGTATATAAAGTATATCAACCTATATTCAACGCGAGCGGGCTCTGGTGACCAATAGGATTCACACAAATCGATTTTTGGGTAAGATCGTCGCGCGAGTTAAAATTCCAAAGCATCTTGGTTGGCAGAGGGCGTACGACACAGTCAGCGTTTTACTCACGCTATCTCGCCCGAAACGAAATTACGAATGAGCTTATATTTGATTAGCAAATTCCATCGCGCTTGTTTTAACAGGTCGCCAAATTTTTATTTAAAAGTTCTGTAGGTTCTGACATATCAATGGTGGTCGAAATGTAATTATGTAGGTGTCAGGAATGACACTCAAGCGTTCTGCGACAGCTCCTGACCACCGCCGTTTCCTCTCCGCGTAAACATCGTGGTACAGGAATCGGAACCGTTCTGAATAGTGCTAGTGACATATATGCGCTTGGTCTTGAGAGAAGTGGCGGTATGGTGTACCGGCGTACACCATACCGCCACTGCATTATCAACAGTTTTTTTTGTTATATAATTACTGCCGATAACTAATGGGCCTTGGCTATGCCATACATTAGTGCGATGAGGTTTTTTTTAATATATAATTTTTATTAAAACTCAACGCGAGCCCGGTACAAAGCGCTCACAGAACGGAGGGAGAACAAAAATTCCACGAACAACAGCAACCCGAATTGGGGCCGAGTAAAGGGGGAGAATTGGGTTCACTGCCCCACCCAGGTGGGCACCACGAGCAAGGGCATGAACGTTTATATGGCAGTGCGATTATGTTTTTAACCAACGCTGGTGAGGTGTGCTTCTTCAATGTTTTGAAAGTCGTGCTGTTCAGGTGAGACATTAACTGCGAACGGGAACACGAGTGCGCTGCAATCATGGCCGAGACAAAGTGCTTTAAAATTGTGGGCACACTCTTCAGCGCCCCCCATGCGGTTGCCTGGCCTGCAGGAGTTTAGTTGCATAGGCTGGACCATGTATAGTGGCGGGTACCACCCGCCTCTAGCCCACAAGTCTAAACAGATACAAAATTAGCTGCAGCTCAAACTGTCGGAAATTTAACGCCTTATCCAAAGTCCGATAAGTTTCCTAGGTTTACAAATCGTTTACTAGTAATTTTCAAACTGACGAGGTTTTTTTCCCCAGAGTCCGCTGCTGATCAGTGTAGTAACTGTAGGAGTTAAAGGTAGAGACCCGGAAAATATGCAACGTTGGGCCAATGTTGGCATATGTTTGGAACCATCAGACCAACGCTGCCCTAATGTTGACCCAACGTTTCATGTTTACTTGGGGATGAGGAGTGCCCAATGAGCTTCAAAATTCAGCTTCCCGAGACTCAATATATCGTGAAAGTGCACTTGTATGTAAAGGCGAAAGCTCTGTGGCTTCTGTAAGATTTTGTTGAAACTATGAAAACCTCATAAACAAAAAAAGGCTACACTTGTTCATCATGTGTTGTTTTTTGTACGCACGACACACAACCACTCGCCACCGATCTTATCCATGGCCACAAAAATCAAACTCGGGTTGCCAGGTTCATAGTCTCGTGCATTAACCACTGTGCTACCATTACACCTGTGGTTACTGCCTATTGCCTTCATATCCTATGCTCCTTTGTATGGCCCTATAGTTTTTGGCTACATCTGATATTAGTCAGTTTAACACGTAGGCTTTCGCGACCAATATTATTCATAATAAAGGTTTTTGGGTTAGATCGCGTTATTTATAAATGTGTCGTAACCCTCCACCACCCGACACAGCCAATCAGCAAAAAAAGTGTCACGTTGACAAAAGACAAATAGTTCACTACTTTAGCCCACCGGTGTGTTGAAGCGTGAAACCACAACATTTACAATTTGTAAGATTATGGGTGGCCACAGAGAAGCCACATCATTTAGGGGAGGCTTGAGCTGATTTAGACAGATTCTATTACTACCAGTAAGACGAGTAACACTGTTGCACTCAGGTGTAGTGTAATCCAGCATGGCAGTCGGGTCGTGACTGAGTATAGGCAAGACATTTTATTGCTCTATTGTTTAGACTTAAGTGATGTTGAATAATTTTACGAAATTATGTTGATGCTGCTGCGTTGGCAGTGGTGCAAAAAAACTAAACTCCACGCGTTCCATCAATAACACTGCGGCCTTCAAAGGAAAATATATTCTCGGCTAAAATACTATACATACAAAATATATTTCTATACAATTGTCACATTACTCTTGCGACGACACATGAAGTTGTTTACTGCATGAATTATTGGTGTCAGCCAGATTGAGCTGCCCACATTTTCACAACTTTACCGCCTACGTTTTGACCGGACGCGACGGCGAAATAGCCGAGCCACATGTAACAAAACGACCGCACACCTTTCGGCAGGATCGTCTGATCCACGCCGAGGGGATAGTTCAATACGGACTTGAGCGGACTTTTCAATACGAGATCCGTGTCGACGCACATTCTCTCGTGGTCAAAATAAAAAACGGAACATTAACACCACCGTGTGCGTGCTGTTGCACAAGCATGAATGAAAAAGAACAACTCATCAGTGACATTGCCTTATCACAGAAAATGTAATCGTGTGATAGGCTGACCAGTGGAACAATGGCTCTCAAGAGGGGAAACTTTAAATAAATGAGACACTATGCTACAATTTACACCCTGGCTCCTGACTAAAACTGTACCCGATATGTATGTTGAACTTATTTTACGCCTTACGTACCCAGCCGTGCTAATCGGAGGTGCGGAAAAAAAAGGAGGTGCGTTGGTGTCAGCGAGATGGAGCTGGCCAACCTGTGGTGGTGCTACAAACGTATACAGTGTTGGCCTAAAACTATACCCTGTGGTGCCCCCAACGAGGGCAAAGAGTCAAGTGGTGACACCAGGTCACCCAGCTTCTGGGGCGAATGGGATTTTGGCTCCACGCGCCTCGTAGTCCACGGTCAATTTTGTGAAATATTGTGCATGCTACAAATCGCATTATCACTATGAGCAAAAGTGCCAGCTGCATCTATAATTTCAATCAAAAAAACAAAAACTCAACGCATTTGTCGATAACAGTGGGGCATGAAAAGACAGCAGTATCGAAGAGGCGACGGCCCTTCTTCATAGCACATAGAGGCCCAGAGAAGTAGGGTCCGCAAGTACTGCTATGATACGCAGCGTCACCAAGGGGATCGTGCGATAAAGGTCATGACGCAACACATCAGGATATTGTATTATATTTATTTGTACGTGGCCAATTCTTGAAACCTCTCGCAAAAAGCCACCCAGGAATTATTGGAATGATTCATTCAGCAAGTACATTTGGTAAACTACCAGGTTCGAAGGAGTTATTTTATCGCAAGGAAATATTTGGGAAAAAATATCGATATTTCTGAGATGTGTGTAACACGGACGCTATAGCTGTCTCTCTCCATCGTGAACATGCACTCTCAAAGCAAGCAACGCGACACGTTCGTCAACAACACTGTGTGCTCTTAAAATAAAGACATAATATTAATAAGTGTTGTGTCAGGCCATGGGCCCTTCTTCAGATCACAAATCAAACGTTCCGGCTGCGACGTGCATATGGAATGTCACGTAAAAAAAAACCTTTAAAGAACATTTTTTTTGGTGGCAAGGATGTGGCGCAGGGTTCAATTCCTAATTTGAGTGAGTGGAGTTTGTATGGTCTCCCCCCGTTTCGGTAGAGTGAATAAGTGAGTGGCGTTTGTACGTTCTCCACCTGTTCTGTCGAGTGAAAAGTGAGTGGAGCTTGCATGATCTCGCCCTGTTCTGTAGAGTGAATAGTAAGTAGAGTTTGTTTGTACTCCATCTGTTCTGCAGAGTGTGTGTGCAAGAGTGAGCGCGCTGCGCTACAAACCCAACGACCCGTGTTTGATTCCCTCTCACGGCCAACACTAGCGATGATTACCTTAAATAATCCTGGGCTTCCTCTAGGTCGACTCAGCCCCAAATGAGTACCAGGTGGCTGGGCATGATGCTAGCCATTCCCTCGTGTGTCGTGCTGGCTTTCATAGGTGGTCCCAAAAGTCTGTTGAGGCTATACTTTGTCTTTGTGTGAGTGGAGTTTGGATGTTCTCCTGATCTGCAGAGTGAGAGTGAGGTGGAGTTTGTATGTTCTCTCCCCCTGTTCTCCTGATTCCTCCCATAGCTTAAAATACCCCCACACAATGTAACTGGAAGTGAACAAAACATGCCAATGCTGAAAAATGACCTGCAAATTACATAATTGGGATTTTACACATCAACATCGGCCCCTTACTGCAAAAAACTTGGCAGGACCGTCCTGCAAAAGAGCCTTGAGACTCGGTGAGGCTATCCTGGGTAAACAAGCGTAAATAAGACCTGAATAAAAGGTATTTGGGTGTTTAAGTCCAGGTGCGCACTAAGGCTGGAAGGCACTGGCGAATGGAAATAGCTTGTGGCACGTCGCTCTGTACGTCTCTGCCTGAGCCTCCGCGCAGCCCAGGCTGCCATCTCTCAGGGCCTCCAGCACAGATGTACAAGTCTGGGAAAGGTCACACAATGGACACAGATACCAATTCGATAAGTCCTCGTGGTGTTGACAAAATGCGTTGTATCTATCACGCAGTTCGTTCTTCGGGGGAACAAATTTCGCACAAAGCTGAACTAGCACCGTTACAATAACACGGAATGCCCACCGTTCTAACGCAGCTTCTGAGCGGTCAACAATGAAATACTTTCTTGAGCTGCGCTGCTGAGCGGTATGACACAGTATTGGAGTGACACGGTACGTGTAATGAGACGGTACGCAGCAGCATACCCTCATCTCAGCTCTTTGTCCCGCCATGGGATGGCTGCAGGCCGAATTTACCGTGCAAATGTGATTCAGTAACTCAGTAATTCCTCGCTCTAACAATTGTAATAATATTACTATATCACTTGCTGCCTGTGCCACCGCACCGCAGCAGCCGCGCGAACTCACAACCTCCTCCTCTCTCTACACCAAGGAGCAGCACCATAGCCACTGCCGGGCATCGTTTCTCGGTGGCAGCCCCCACACCATCTGGACCACAACCATCATCGTCCCAACTGCTGCTGCTACGCATTTACAGGAGCAGTAGAAACGATCAATCCACAAAGACTTAAGAGACACCTCCAGGCTTCATCTCCTCTGTCATTCTCAAGCAACAATGAGCTTGGCTCTGGTACCTCAGGAGTCATGGTCATTTACATCTGCGAAATAGTGCTGTGCAACAGAGAGGGAGTGGGAGTCCTCACCGCGACATTCCTGTCCGTCAACGCTTCGTCAAGGTTGGTGGCGATGGCGAGGGCCTTCTCCTGGTGAGCCTTATCTAGCAAAAACAGCATCCGTGCTCCTGCGAAAAAACAAACACCCACGTGAGTCTCTCCAGGGCACAACGTGAATGGTACATTCGGGGGGATGGAGACAAAGAGTCACATTTTTTCTGAAGACAGCACTGTCGTTCATTAGGGGGGAACTGTTCAACTATACCCCCAAGTCCCCCCAAGTCATCACCTCTGCACTGCATACACTCAATTTGTAAATCTGACAAAACATAATAATATTACTATATCGCCTGCTGCCTGTGGACGCAACATGTGGCTTAGTGGTCCATTTGCTGCCTGTGGACAATGATGGCATTCACTCAGACTCCGTAGGATAGAGGAAGTGCTCTCCGACGGGCGGTGGTGGTGGTGTGTGCCACAGCGCACATGGTCTGTAATCCAGTGCTGTGGAGGCAGCAGGGAGGGTTGGTGGATCACAGAGAGACATTGCGAAGCTCCCTTCCCGTGGGTGTCGTAGAGGAGCCACACCTGAAGGTGGTACAGCAAAGTGTGGGCTAATATCCACCCATTCCATCGGAATGAGATTGTGTTTTCCCCTCGCATGCAAGGGTTTTCCTCAGGTGCTTTCGTTTCCTCCCACATGTGAACACTCACTAATTGGCCGAAATCTATAATTGCGCCTCTGTGTGTTGCGGATTGTGCAGCTTTGTAGGTTGCAGTTTGCATGAAGACGCTAATATCTATAAACACTATTATTATAGGATAAGTAAGCCTTCTATAGGAGTTTAACACGTAGGCTTTCGTGACCAATAACCCCAAAAAACTCTATTATGGGCCTTCTATAGGAATAGAAAATGTTTAATAGGGAAGGTAAATGTTGTAAAGGACAGGCAAGTGTTCAATAGGACAGGCAAGAAGAAATTATTCAGAGACTCCTCTACTTACGAACATTCGACTTACGAACTTTCAGAGATACTAACAAACCTGTCCGCATGTCCAGTTGCTTGTTCAGACCGAAAGTCGTAAGTTGGTTGTTTGGTGTCAATCATTGGCTGTTTTGAGTCTCAGGACCGAAATACTGAAAGGGTTACTAAGGTGTCAGCAGCTGTTCATGATGCAATTGCTGTTAGTAGTTGATGAAGAGAAGAAAAGACCAACGTTGCAGACATGTTCTCAAGCGAGGAAACAGGAGCACCAAAGGTAATTTGCATTTACATCTGCAGAACTTAAAGAACCAGTGTCATCTACATCTGCAGAACATGAACAACCAGTGTCATCTACATCTGCAGAACATAAAGAACCAGTGTCATCTACATCTGCAGAACATGAATAACCAGTGGCATCTACATCTACAGGAGATTATACAGCTTTTTAAATCATTACCAGTGTTTAGTGTACGTGCCGTACAATATGTTTGGAATCGACAGGAGTAAAGTTGGACTTACCAACAAATTGACTTACGAACAGACCTTTGAAACCTAACTCGTTCGTAAGTAAAGGAGTACCTGTAATTAGCGAGTTTACCCAAGAAAGTTGAGTCTCTTGACTTTCACAGTTGGGGGGCGATGATTGCTGCTGTGCACGATCCCATTTAAGTAATTTAACGGGGTAATCTTTTCAAACTTGCCAATCCAAACCATGACACCAGTGGCACAAGTTGTCCTGCACTTGCAAACGATGTCACGGGATCTCTAACGACGTCCACTGAGAGTGAAGTGGACAGCTCGTAGCAGTCATAGCAGTAATTTACAACGGTTACTGCAGTTGTGGCAGCTGGACTCGAACCGTGAACCTCTACAACAAGCGGCAAACGAGCGCACTACTGCTCAGGCGTGCAGGAGAGTCCAGCATCTAGGAGAGCGCGGCGTGCAGGAGAGTGCGTCGTGCAGGAGAGTGCGGCGAGCAGGAGAGCGCGGCGAGCAGGAGAGTGCGGCGAGCATGCGCCACAACGGGGCCTGGCTGCCAGCGGACTCACCGGCGAGGGAGTGCCGGAGCGAGGTGGCATTGCGCTGCAGGAAGTCCCCATTCATCTGCTCCAGGCTGCCGGCGCCGAGCAAGGGGGGCAGTTCCTGACGCAGGACCTCGGCCACGGGTGCCGTCGTGCCCAGCACGCCCTCCGCTACACTCGGCACGACACACGGCTCGTCGTCGTCATCATCATCTTCAGCAGCATCTAAGATTAATCTGCTGCTGGATGAAGGCCTCCCCAAGCTGATGCGATATCATCTCATGAGGCTACAATTTAATCTTAATCCACTGAGCAACTTAAAGAGTTGGCCGCTTGGCGATGGCTACGCACGTGGCTGCCTGTAATCCAGCACTGTGGAGGCAGCAGCGAGGGTTGGTGGATCACACACACACCTTACGAAACTCCCTTCCCATGGGTGTTGAGGAGCCCATACCCTGGCTCGCCCAGAAGGCAGTACAGCAAATGTCAACTAATATTCATCTGCTCCATCTGGATGGGGATAGAGCGTTGCGCCCTCTCGCAAGCGTGGGTTTCCTCTGGGTGCTCGGGTTTCCTCCCACGTGTATAATTAATGCACTCATCATTAATTGGCTGAAAACATCTCAAAATGAAAACCAAATACAGGACATCCTGAAAGCAAGGCCTATAACGAAGCATGGCTTTCCTGGATACATAATTGTTAATATGTCAATTTGAATATAATTAGAAATTAATAATATTAACAAGGGCGGATTTAATCTCTACATTTCTGCAGTGGATGTCCTATCCGGCATGTTTCACTCCTTTGACTGCAACTCTAAGTTAGTCCCGAGGATCGACCATCGTATCCCCTCTAGTGACGTGTTCTGCAAAAACCCACTTATTTTCTCGAACTCCATACGAGTTCTCTGTTCGTGTGTGATTCGCATTTACTATGGCAGAATTTACTTGAGGGAGGCCCCCAGGATCATTTTAGACATTCTCCAATATTGTCCGTGACCGAGAATCGAACTCGGGTAGCCGGCCCGAGATCGTAGCACAGTGCGATAACCACTGTGCCGCCGCTCCCTCCCCACCCCGCACTCCCCGCGGCCCCAGCCACACCGCTCGCCGTACCCAACTCAAACAAACTAAACTATTTTTGATTTAACCAAGTATGGCCCACTGAACTATATAGCTCTTTTTCAGGGGCTACCTCGCCACAAATGGTAGCTCAACGAAGCGGCTTATCACGTAGACGTTAATTGTAGCCAAATACTGTGAACGCCCGTTGTTTATAAATGTGGAGAGAAAAACCGGAGGACCCGAAGAAAAATCGATGTGATCACGGGAAGAGAGAGAGACACGCAAACTCCAAATATACAAGTGTCAGGTTTCAGGGTGGAACCCACGACCTCCTGTATACCAGTTGAGGTAGTTAACATCCCGCCACTGTGACTCACCGACTGTGCAGAGCCGCACCAGGCAGGTGTGCAGCCAGGGGTCGTGGGGGTCAATCGTGGCGGCGCGCTTCACAGAGCATAGCATCAGGAGGTGTTTACCTGCAGACACAAATGGCCGCTGCACTTTCTCGCTCACTCGCGGCGGTCATACTGAATTGTTGTAATTATCCATCACTCGCGTCTCCGCAATGTGGCGGGTACCACAATATTATTGGTACAATATAGAAGCCACGAGCATCGTAACATAAAATACGTGGTTATATCTTCACTGTTATTGTTCGTTTTATGTACTTGAAAATACTAATTTCGTTGTGAAATATATGAAGTTATGTAATAAGTTAAGTTCGATTAATTTCAATGCTTTTTACAGAACGTGTTCTGGAGTAGTTAATGGCTCGGCGGTAGTTTCTTGACAGCGGACACGCATTTGGAAATACATCTCACTTTCCAGAGCCTCCTATAATCCAGAGAATACGTTAATTATTGGTACAGTCGGCAGCTGCAATGTGATTGAAGAATACAAATCGCAGCCGATGCAGACTTCCCCAGCGGAAAACCACGACCGAGTCGATATAAAAAAACACACTCATGACTTTCAAACTTTGTACAAGTAACAAAAATTATAACCACGTGACGAAGGTTGCGCTGCTCGATGATGGCATTCACTCGGGCAGGCGAGCAATCTGAAGGACAGGTAAGTGCTTTCTGATGTGTGGCGGTGGTGGTGGCTACGCCGCTGCACGTGGCTGCCCGTAATCCTGCACTGTTGGAGGCAGCAGCTGTTGGTGGATCATCGCGCTAATGTTGTGAAAATCCCTTCCCCGTAGTCATTGAGGAGGATGAGGTTCCGTATACCTGCTTGATGGATCACATGATCGCTTACCTCTTCGCAGATGTATTTCGAAGGCGAGCAGGTGCGTCGCGATGTCGTTCGCTGCAAAGTTTTCAAGAGGAGCCAGGAAGCTCACGGCTTCGGAGAGTGGGTCGTCGGCGTCCTGGCCACGCGAGTGGTGGGGGAGGTGGGAGGGGTGCGGGGGTGAGGGAGGCTTGAGGGGTCAGAGATCACTGCGCAGAAGACGCAGAATGCAGGCGAAACGCACGACGTGGAAAACCGCAGAAACACGAAAAACTCATTGACACTGCGTGTGGCCTGTAATTCAGTCATGAAGTGCAATGTGATCGTGGGACTGTGGTGTATTGGTATGGTTTCAAATCGTTGTTCTTTAGTTGCATTGCCCCAGCTCACATTTGATCTTGACAAATCTGCAATTATTTTTACTGTATACTCATTCAATTTATACTTCCAAGCTTTATCTTTCTGCATTTATTTGTATTGCCTTGCTTAACTTTTCTCTTATCATGGTGGTGGGGTTTGTGTGTTCCAATGACCCTAAGAGCTATGTCGCCTGGAGTCTTGTATTTCTGGTAGGGTCTCCCTTGGCGAACAGGTCTGGGGGGAGGTTCGAGACAAATAACAGTCCAAAATAAACGCCCTCATGAATGGTTACAAAATATCAAGATCAGAGAACTTCACCCTGCACACCCCCAGAGCCAGGCCTGGGGGTGGTGTTCGCTGGCAAGCGCCTGGTGGACAGGTGACCCACGTAACCTGGTTGGGTCCAGCCCGAAATGGCTACGTGGTGCCGTCCTGTGGGCTCACCATCCGCAGGACGAAGGGTGAGTGAGATGCCAGTATGGCAGGGAAAGGGATGGTCTCAGATGGACTGGACCTTGGCGGTGTACACTAGCTATTGGGAGGTGGAATGTCACGTCACTGGGGGAAAGGAGCCAGAGCTGGTGGAGGAGGTGGAAAGGTACCGACTAGATATAGTTGAATTTATATAGATATAGTTGGTCTCACCTCCGCACACAGCATTAGTACTGGAACCAAACTTCTTGATCGGGGGTGGTCTCTCTCCTATTCCGGAGTAACCCCTGGTGAGAGAACCCGGTTGGGTGTGGGGATACTCACAAGCCCCCGGCTGGGTGCTGTTTGGCTGGAGTGTGTACCAGTGGATGAGAGGGTCACCTCAGTGAGACTTCGGGTCTCAGAAAGGAAAACTCTTGACTGTTGTCTGTGCTTATGCACCAAACAACAGTTCAGAGTATTCGGCCTTCTTGGAGATGGTGGGTACATAACTCGACAGAGTGCCGCCTACCAACTCCATAATCTTAATGGGCAACTTCAATGCTCGAGTCTGTCGCCAGGGAAAGGGAGGTCTGGCCCGCCCTACTCAACATGCTGCCGCCGCAACCCTCACCAAGACTAGCGGATTGAGAAACGAACGAACAAGACCCCTTTTCTCTATGTTACTCTTTTATCCATTCTTGTGTTGTTAGTTGATGTAACTCGCTGACCATGGCCGCTACTGGACATCTCTGACAAAGCTTCATAGCTCATCAAATTCCTTCAGGATAAATAAAGATTCTTATTGTGAAAAGTGAAAGGAAAAAATATGTATCTTTCACAGCACGTAGATAGGCCAGAGAGGTGGAGTTGATGATACGAGTTGGGGACTGGACTTTACACCACGGGGCATGATGAGAATAGCATTCGAGAGAGTACATTTGTCATCATTCTCAAAACTAGGATAAATACAATAAGTTAATAAACAATGGTACATTTATTAGAAGTGTGCCTGACATGCCTCCACGTCACCCAAAACACACTAATTCCACACACAAAGTGCCTGCCTACAAATAACCACAATACCTTGCTGATCTCATCAAGGAGCATAAACCATCACGCTAACTCCTTGTAGCAGCGGTTTTTGGCCCACAATCGAACAAAAACGGTAACCACATCGCCCGCTTTCAGATGCGCTTCTACAGCCGTCTGGAAAGCGCTTCCTTCCGATATTAGGAAGCCACTTGAGCTATGCACTTATAAATCAAGATTGAAAACTAATTTCTTTTGAATAGATTTTTGTGTTTAGTTACCCTGTACCTCCGATTACATGGTTGGCTACGTACGGTGCAGTATTCAACATACGTACAAAAAATAAAAGGCTCTCTCCCAACTAGCCACGTGTTGTGAGGCTCATTGTAATCACCATCCAGCAAGCAGCATAAAGTGCAACCTCCAAATACGAGCCAAGCTCTCTGCCCTCACAGCCACGCAAAAAAGAACATCGGCTCTGCGGATCCACAGTACCAGCTGCACCACGACGCCAGGTACCGGTGACCGTGGGACTTCACTTCTCTTGCGTGGGGACACACTTCACCTGCACGCCGAGCTCCTCCATGAAGTCATGTAGCTCCTTGCCGTCGCGCACGTCAGGGTCCGGCCCGCTCCCCGCGCTGCCTCCACCTCCTCCGTCACCACGCAGGATGCGTGCTACCGCCTTGCGCCGCTTGCTCTGCTGCTTGCGCTGCTCGGCAGCCGGTGCCGAGCCTAAGCAAAAGAGATCCGGTACGAAACGGCTGCCAGTACCCCCCGGGAAACGATAGAGCGACACCCAGCATGGGGACAATACGCGCCGATGGCACCGACGAGCAGAGAGTGGAAAAAGAGACACGTCAACGCACCGCTGCCGCCACCGCACTGGCTCGAGAGGCATGAAGAGGGACCACAGACACGAGCGGTGTCAAACTCCCCCCCAAGTTCTGCGATCCTCTCTACATTGTGGTTTTATCGGCCAATTAATGAGTGTTTATACATGTGGTAGGAAACCGGAACACCCAGAGAAAACCCACGCGTGTTGACGGAGCAACACTATCCCATACAGATGAAACTGGTGGAATCCACATGTTCATGTACCGACTTCTCCTGATAAGAGCCAGGGTATGATTTTTCGACAGTCACGGGAAGGGAGTTGCACAACATCTGTGCAGGTGACCAGAATATTTTTGCATCAGAATCTTTATTTAGACTTGGGAAATCTGATGAGATATGAAGCTCTTTTTCACAGATGTCCTGTAGGAATTCACAGACGTCCATTGATCCAACAACCCTCACTGCTGCCTCCACAGTGCTGGACCACTTAAAGGCAGCCATGTGCAGCGTGGCCACCACCACCCATCGAACAAAGACGGTTACTGCATCACGCACATTCAGATGCGCTCTTCATTTTGATATTAGGAAGCCACTGGAGCTATGCACTTTTAAATATAAATAGAAATCGAATTTCTTTAGAACTGATTGTTGCGTTTAATTTCTTGTCCTTCCCCCCCAGCACGTCCGATTAGTACGATTGGTTAAGTACAGAGCATACCGAAGTTCAATGTGCGTACAAGCATCGTGCCGCACGCTTGCAAAAAAAACTCCGCGCGCACCACATCGAAACTCACCGCTGACATCCCGCGCTTGGCGGCCCCCGTCCTCTGCGTGCCGGATGGGTGTGGAGGGCCGGTCATGAAGGCCAAGGCAGCAGCGCACGGCCGTGCGGGCCGCACGCACCGACGCGGGGTGGCCGCGCAGCGTGGTGGACGTGCGCAGCATCCCCGCGTATGCGCGCAGCGTGGCCCGGCGCAGGCAGTAGGTGTGGAAGTCCAGCTGGGATGCGGCCACGTCGTTGAAGTGCTGTTTGAAGACACACAGCGCCAGTGGCGCGGATGATTTGCGCCCTTGGCGACGATCCAGCGAATTGTAACGATCTGGGATGTGCGATCCCGCTCTAGAACTGATTATTTTTTATTGCTGTCTCGTTAATACTATTGTATTCTCCAGGTCATAAGATTTACTTATCCCCCCCGTACTTTAAAGCAAAAGTTGCGGTATTTATATTCTCCATAATTATGCTCATGATTATTTCAAGTTACATTCACTAAAGTTTACATGTGAATGTAATTTTACATGTATGTTGAACTTCTTTCATACCCTACATAGCCAACCATGCTAATCGAAGGTGCGGAGATTGTTATTACGTTTGTGTTTTTTTAAATCTGTAATTGTGGAATGCTTTGATGTTGTCTGCCGGTCAAGTCACCCTTGAAAAAGAGCCTCTTAGCTCATTGGGCTTTACTCAGTGGGATATAAACTTCTGATGCCGATTCTGATCACGTGCGGCCAGGTCGCCTCTAACAAACCACTCATGTTGCGGTGGCGAGATGTTAACTCCCTCGCCTGGTATACAGGAAATTGTGGGTTCGATCCTGACCCTGATGCCTACTGTATAATTTAAGTTTGCGTGTCTCTCTCACCGCGATGGCGTGGATTTTTCTCAGAGTCTTCCGGTTTTTATCCCTCCACATTTAGAAACGTGCATTTAGAGTATATATCTGCTATAAATTTCCACATGATAACCCACTCATTGAACTACCATGTGTGGCCAGGTCGCTTCTGAAAAAGAGCAATATATAGCTCAGTGGGCCTTACCTGTGTAGTGAGTTCAACTGAGTCGCAGACGTACTCTTGGAGGCAACACATTTATTTGACACCAACACACGGGGTAACTGCCCTTTAACAGAATAACAACCTATGGTGGTGACCACCAGGCTGACGACACTAATTACAACTTAACCGGCTACTACGGACCGGGACCACAGCTCGGGTCTAGGTCCATGTGTTGGAAACTCGGAGAACGTATAACGTAGACGAAGGTTTCTTCAGGATGAACAACAACGCCGGTCCCACTCGGGGATCCGGCTTATATTCTCTGCGGCATGGCTGGCTCCGCCCTTGTCCACGACCACCTTCCAGAATCCTCGAGCAGGATCTGGACCCTGACCACGTGACCACCCCTAGCCCCCACTTGGGGCCTCTTTGTAGACTTAACTGGTCACGTGTCCTCTCGGGTCAATCAGAGTGCCATGGCCTTTAGTAACCTCATTCCTACGGCCGGCACTCCCACACCCTGTCTTCTGTAGGCCGGCACTGCACGCCAAGCGTGGTGCCATCCAGCGCTATCAATCAGTGCTGACCGAACCCCTCTAGGGCCGGGACTACACCCACACCATAGTGGTATCTGCGATGTCAATACACCGCACCCCGTGCCTCTTTCGGGCCGGCACTACACAAATGTCACTACATCTGTAAAGAAAAAAAGTTTGGTATGCCGTGTGGAGTGGGGGATGTGATCGGAGCAGCAAACGCCGGTTTGCGAGCACCGACCTTCTCCACCTGGCGGCACACGCGGAGAGCGTCACGGTGGCGGCACTGCCGCCTGTACGCCTCCGCCAACGCCAGTAGGAACCACAGGGGCTGCGGCTCCCCGGGGCTCTCCTGCACGAAGCCGCTCTCCTGCCACCGGCAGAAAAAACAAATACGACAGATTCCCCACGTGGTTGTGACAGAGAGCGTTGCAGCGAGCACCATTCGATCGACTTGCTCTTCCACTCACCCGTGGCTTAGTGAAGAGTAACGCTAAGCTCTCTGTCGCGGGTTTGGAAGCCACGTGATGGCTTCAGCTGAAGCTGAATAGATGGATCCTGCTGCTGCTTCTGCTGCAATGGTGCAATATCTCTGACACAGCATCTCCGGTCCGTGGCCCCCATATTTGAAATGCTCTGCCTGTAAAATTACACCTGACCGTTGAGATTCTTCAATTTAGAAAGATATTCAAATCCTACTCATTTCCTAGGATATGTTAGATAAGGGGTCGGCAACCGAAATAACAAAAAGAACCATTATTTTAGAATTTGGTAAAAAAAACTCAATATTTCAAGAGCCACAATGCACGTGAATAGGAAACGGTGGTCCTTAATAAATAACGTCACGGTGCAGTCTATAAAAAGCCACACGCGGCTCCAGAGCCGTAGGTTGCCGACCCCTGTGTTACGCAAACTGGAGATGTTATTATTTATTTTTGGATACAATTTACTGTATTGTGCTCTGCAGCCCTATGTTGGGACTGCTACGGCTTATAAAAATGTAACCAACAGTAATGAAGCCAGAGAGCAACCTCGCAGACCCTTCCCGCCTTGAGTCAGCCCTGAAGCCTCGCTGGTGGGTGGGAGGCGGTGCACAGCCCCCCCTACAGGAGGCTCGGCCCCCTTGTGAACTCATACATTGAGCCAAACAACGTCGAGCCAAACAACGTAGGTACAAACGTCGGTACGAATGAGTCGCCGCCAGGCTCACAATGACTCACGCGAGGGACTCACCAGCAGTGCCTGCGTGACGAGCCCCGCGCGCAGTAGGTACTTGATGCGCTTCACCTGCAGGAAGCGGTCACCCGGCTCCAGGCCCAGGGCCTGTCTCAGGCACTCGGCTGCCGCCACGGCGTCCCCGGCGTGCTGCGCGACACCCCCACCACGATCATTCACGGCCCTCCCTCCCCGCAGAGACCCACTAAGCATATGCCGTTTACTCAACTAAAACTAAAGGATTTATATGTTTTATTTTAACCAGGTAAGGAAGGCCCACTGAGATATGTAGCTCTTTTTCAGAAACGCCCTGGCCACAAATGATAGCTGAATGAAGCAGTTTATCACGTGACAATGTATAGCAGCCAAATACCTTAAATGCATGTTGATTCTAAATGTAGAGCAAACCTCTTCCACTATTCTCATCAGTAGATCCACTCATTTGTTCGTTTACATTATTCGCAGCGATTCACACTGCAGGCCACTAGTTTTGTGTGCGTGTCGAGGGTTATATGAGTGGGGAGGCCTTCGTCCAGTAGTGGAGTGACAGAGGGCTGTAAATCATTGTTCACATGAATAAAGTGATCATGTGACGCCACATGGGGCCGTGCGTAATAAAACACAATGCGTTTTTTTTGTCATCGTCGAATTAAAATGTAAGTTACATCTCTAACTCAGATCAAGCCTCCCGTAGACTTGTGTGGCCACTTCCACTCTGAACCCTCCCCTCTCCCCGCCCACTGTGAGAACAGACGCCACTCCTTCTCTGTGAAGCAGCATCGAGGTCCTGATGTAGCCTCTTCCTCCTCTCTATCCTCATCTCTCCTGACCCTGTACTCTCGATTCTCTGTTCCTTTCCCCAATGTTTCTCTGGTCTTTCCCATTCCATTCTCTTTCCCTCCCCGCATGCATTACATCCTTGACTCTACTCCCCTTCCCGTGGTGTGTAGCAACGGAGGGTACAAAGGTTGCCAGTGAATCCTACTCAATGCCAATAACGTGATAGCACGCTGGCGATTAACCGAGCTCCTTATTCGTTGACTTTACCTGCAGGTAAATAAGTAATATTAAAATAAACTTTTTTAAAAACACGCTTTTATGAAATGTACTTGTAACGGCAGAACTCCACGACTCCAGGAAGTGGCCCCAAAGCTTGCCATAACGTAAGGGACCCTGGCCAATTACAGCCAACGTTAGTTTACCATGGATAATTAGACCCAAGCCAAAACATAACAGAAAAAATAATGTTTAAAAATAAATATTTTTGATGATAGGATATAGTATTGTCATCAGTATGACATACGTATACCAAGTTTGCAGTCGATAGCACATTGGGAAGTGGGTTAAAATAGAGTTACAAGATTTGAGGATACAACAACGACAACAACGATGACAACGACAACAGAGTGAGTTAAATGAAAGCGTGTAAAAAGCGCTTGTTTCGTTGCATCTGCCCCAAACTCTCGCACGCCGCTTGTTTGTCCTGGACTCGAAATCATCGCCATTCTTAAGCGCACGTGCGCTAGCACGAGCGTCACCATGCGCAACCATGGCTCACGCGAGCATGGGTCACGCGAGCGTGGCTCCCACAAGCGCCAATGTGTGGTGGTCCACTCACCTTGTAGATGCTGGCCTTGGCAACGAGCAACTCCGGGGAGCACGGGAAGACTGCGAGGCAGCCGTCGATGTAGTCGAACGCCAGGCCCGACTGTCCCACCAAGTCGTAGTGCTGAGCCAGCAGGAAGCGCACCCACAGCAGGGTGGGCTCGTGCTGCGGCTCGCCGTCGTCTTGCAGCGTGCAGCGAGTGGTGAGAACACGGGAGCTTAGCGAGTGGTGAGAACATGGGAGCTCAGCGAGTGGTGAGAACACAGGAGCTTAGCGAGTGGTGAGAACACGAGAGCTTAGCGAGTGGTGAGAACACGAGAGCTTAGCGAGTGGTGAGAACACGGGAGCTTAGCGAGCGGTGAGAACACGGGAGCTTAGCGAGCGGTGAGAACACGGGAGCTCAGCGAGTGGTGAGAACACAGGAGCTTAGCGAGTGGTGAGGACACGAGAGCTTAGCGAGTGGTGAGAACACGAGAGCTTAGCGAGTGGTGAGGACACGAGCGCTCAGTGTATTACAGCGCGAGTGGTGGGAACACGGGAGCTTAGCGAGTGGTGAGAACACGGGAGCTTAGCGAGCGGTGAGAACACGGGAGCTTAGCGAGTGGTGAGGACACGAGAGCTCAGTGTATTACAGCGCGAGTGGTGGGAACACAGGTGCTTACTGTGATGTTACTGAGCACATATCATTTCTTCTTTTATAGATTTTAATAGCGCTTTAATCCAATGTGCTTTCTAACAATTATATTGTGCATAAGATGATAGTGGTTAAAGTAAAAAGTGGGGTTATTAAAAGCAGTGGTGTAGTTATGAGGCGGTGGGTGGCCAGCACCAAGCCCAGCCGCCTTTGTATTCCTAATAGCGATGTTTTACACATCACACCAGGTACTCACTTGAGGCTGAGTCAAGCGAGGAAAGGCCCAGGACTGGTTCATATATTCGTCACCGGCATTGGACGTGGACGGGAATCGAACTCGGGCCGCCTGATTCATAGCACAGTGCACTAAGCGCCACACTACCGTTCCCCACTCCACCCACTCCACTCATTCACTCGCACACTACAGAACAGCGGGACAGAACATACAAACTCCACTTACTCTCACTCTACAGAACAGATGGAGAACATACAAACTCCACTCACCTATTCACTCTACAGAACAAGGAGAGAGAATTTCCAAATTCCACACAGAGGCGCCTGAGTCGAGAACCACACTCAGGCGCCCCTTCTCGCTGTGAGCGTTACTACCGCACAAACCCTGCCGCCCGACGCGAAGTGCACGCGTCAGGCGCTCGCATGTCCCGTGACCGTAGGCGATGTGAGGGGGGCGGCAGTGGTGCTCACCGTCACGGTGAAAGAGGCCGTAGTTTTCCAGCGATGTCTCATACGCCACCGCAAGCTCCTCGATGGCAAGCACCTTTAAAACAAACGAGTGCTTCACTTTACTGAGCACAGCTACGGTACGAGGTACGGCCGCATCCCTGCAATTGCACCGGCGGAAGGGCCGTCCAGCTGAAAGGAGCTCAAGAACGCCCATTCGAAGATGGTAAATTTGGCCTACTCTTCCACAATGGACCGACGTCTTGGAAGAAGTGGGAGTAGCCACACTTTACCCCACCGCATGCAACCTGCCGATCGACTAACTGTGGTGAACCCATTTATTTACTATTAACACTATTTTATTTTACCAGGTAAGGCCCACTGAGCTTTTCAGCTCTTTTTTAGAAGCGACCTGCCCACAAACGAAACTCAATGGAGTGGCTTATCACGTGGAAATTTATAGCAGCCAAATACTCTAAAAGCATGTTGATTCTAAATGTGGCAGGGGAAAACCAGAGGACCCACAGAAAAATCCACGCACCCACAGGGAGAACATGTAAACTCTCAATATACAGGTGTCAGGGTCGTGATCGAACACACAACCTTCTGTATACAGGCGAGGTAGTTAACATCTCACCACCGTGGTGCCCCGCTGGGTAGACGCAGGCAGGAGGGAGATTTAAGAAACTTGCCTCCATTGTTTTAGATGCCATGCCAGGAGAATCAATCTGAACCAGCGACCTCTGGATATCAAGTCCAGTGAGCGAAGCGTTGCACCATTGCGTAGCCCACTTCAGGGTCATGGAACTGTGCTTAAACATTTGCGAATTTCATGTGACCATCGAAGAATTCGACATTACGGTACATTATGTAACACGATTTTTGTTCCTGGGTAGTAAGTGTTATTTTCTAATTGCTTATGCCTTAAAAGTATATAAAATGGCTATTATTCCCCACAAACGTTGCTTTTGTGACCAGGACCTTATGTGAAGGAATGACACAAATGCACACCACGTTTTCTCATTGAAAATATGTAAATTTCAAAATATCACTGTCCTGGTCACAAAAGTTAATTTTGTGGGGAATAATAGCCATTTTTTCTGTACTTTTGAGGCATAAGCAATTAGAAAATAACACTTACTACCCAGGAACAAAAAATATATGTTTTTGTTACACAGTGAATTATCATGTGGTTCAGTCAACAAACACCCTTACACAGCATCTACTCAAGGGCTTGGATCGGGAAGCGCTTTCACTCGAGATCCGAGCTCCTGTTCACAACCTGAGTATGCTGGATGTGATCTGCAGAGAATAGTTCGTACCCAATGTTAAACGTGGTGTGGATCACTCTGCAACAACAATGCCAGTGGTGCTGCTGAAGTGGTGATACATTGCCCATGTTTGATTGACATGACACTTTTAAACAACACATATATACTTGCACGACCGAACCCGAAATAATAAATGAGAAAGGGCCTCCGGTTTACAACGATCCACATTTACAACGTTTATATAATGCCACCACGGATCACATTGCGACGACGCAGAAACTTGATTTACGACATCTTCCGACATGACTCGGAATACATTTGAACAGTTGGTCTGGTTTCTGATGCGACTTGGCGTGGAGATTGTGTTATTCTCAAGTGATGTTTCTGATCTTTCAACTGTCTAAGATAAAATAGGTGCCGATTTACGACGACGGGGTTTCCAGGAGTGCGTTGTAACGTCGTAAAAGCGGGGGACCGCCTGTACAGCGCAGCACGAGCCTTCTCTGGGAGGCACACACCACTCCTCGCAGCCCCCACACTTTGCTGGAGCACCTTGTCGGGGTCCCTGTAAAGCCCCTTGATGGTGGTGAAGAGCGGCGGGCAGCAGACGCTCAGATGCTGGCGCAGGTATCGGTCCATCGAGTCTCGAAAGCGCGTTCCTACCAATCCCACACCAACAAGACGAGACGGCCTCCAAACTCAGCAGCTGTTGAAAACACGTGTACTAACCAGGGCACGAGTATCCACCGGGGCACGCGTACCGACTAGGATGTAAATCCCTGGGACAAATTTAATAGTTTGTTTTTAATATAAGAAAATGTCTGATTATGTTGCTGCTGTGTTGGCAGTGGTGCACAAGCACAAACAACAAAACAGACATAAACACCACAGCCTTAAAACGAAAAAGTATTTAAGAAATTACGTTTTGAGCAATGGCCCTTCTTCATGGCACTTAACTAGAAAGGCCAGGAGGAGTGTTCATACCATGGGGGCCTGATGAGAATTACATTTTAACAATGTTTTCTCATGACCGATTTTTAAACTGGCATTTATATAGTTACATTATTAGCTTCTGTTAAGTAACAGAGAAAGCCTTTGATAATCAAAAGGTGTTGCTCCTGAATACACTCATTCATATTAAAAGCTAAATAAACACCACTGACACCAATGAATCAATAATGCAAAATGTATTAAGCGGCTGGCAAGTTGGATCGCAACTAATTCATTCACTACGATCAGAAATGTTCACTAAATAAAAAAAAAATCATCCATCTGCCTGTGGGTTATAAGGATCAAAATGAACGGGTCCTATAGTGTTCACAGAGATCTCTTGCCAATACCATCAGCCAATTCAGCAAGAACATTTGTTCAACAAGATGCACTGATATAATTAAAACCAGTTCACAGTTTGTCACTTTAAACAAATAATCTTGGAAATATTGGTCGGAAAAGCCCAACGATTGGTGGACTATTCTTACCATATGTTGCCTATAATCGCATCTAATCCAGCCCTGTGGAGCCAGCATCAAGGGTTGGTGGATCGCCGCACAAATGTAGGAGCCATAGCCTGGCTCTGCAAGGAGATGGTAGAACAGTAAAAATATGAACTTCAACTGTTTCATGTGTACGGGATAAAGTGTTGCCCCCTTTGCATGCGAGGATTTTATCCGTGTACTCCTGTTTCCTCCCATATGTAAACACTCATTAATTGGCCAATAACACCTCAATATAGACAGTACCGCAGAGCTTGGGGGAAAATTTGGTGCCAGATCACTGCGTGGCTGCTGCTGCTACTACTACGACTGCCATTCCCGCCTGTGGTCCCTTCTTGCGCCTCCAAGTCGTTCACTCTTTGCGAGTTCGAGTGAATCCTGTGTGGCCGCATGGCATTACAAGTTGAAATTATTCACTAAACAATAAACTATTTTTATTTTAACAGGTAAGGCCCACTTATCTATTTCTCTTTTTTCAGAAGGGACCTGGACACAAAATGATAGCTCAACGAAGTGTATGTATGCTGAACTTCTTTCACACCCCATGTATCCAACCGGGCTAATCAGAGATGCAGAAGTGGCTTATCATATGGAAATGTATAGAAGCCAAATACTCTAAAAGCATGATTATAAATGTGAAGGGAAAAACCAGAGGACCTGGAGAAAAATCCACACGACCAGAGGGAGAACATGCAAACTCTAAATATACAGGCATCAGTCGGGATTGAACCCACGACCTCCTGTAAACCAGATAAGGTAGTTAACAGCTCGTCACCATGGCACCCTCATACTCAGTTAACATTATAATTGTACACAGTGATAACATTATTATAGAGACAACCAGTGGTCAAAACAAAGATTCCCCTATAGCCACATGGTATAGGGGAATCTTTGATACCGGGCTCTTATGAAGGCCGGCCCATTAGCTGTGTACCTGGCCATCTTTGTCTCCCCAGTGCTGATCGTTTACATAGCAAACCAAATCACACTATACTTTAAATATTTACATTTCAATGCTTACATTTAAGGCCGAGTCAACTTAGGGGAGGGCCCAGGGCTGGGTTGAAATATCTTGCTACTGGTGTTAGCTGTGTTCGGGAATCAAACTTAGGTAAATTGAGTTTGTAGTTGCGGTGCGCGTACCACTACACAGCCACTCAACCCAAAAAGCACGCTTGGACAAGCACACATAAACATGGCACAGATCCCCCGTATAGCCTCAACAGACTCGAGGCAAGTGCTGTTAGCGAGCACCTATGAAGGTGGGAATGGTACACCAGGGTGGAGGTGGCGAGGAATACGCCCAGCCGCCTTTGTCTGTCACCAACCTTTCTGTCTCAGCACCAGGTATGCATTTAAGGCTGAGTCGACCTAGGGGAGGCCCAGAACCAGTGAGCAGGAATGGAACTCGGGTCGGCAGGTTCGTAGGGCGGTATGCTAAGCACTCCGCTACCGCTCCCCACACACGCAATGACAAAGACCTCCGATATAGCCTGAATAGACTTTTTGGGGCAAGTGCTGTTAGCGAGCACCTATGAAGTAGGGCTGAACGATGAGTCGATTTCAAATCGAAATCGCTATTTAAAAAAATGGGATTAGCAAATCGCAAAGGCTGCGATTTTTAGCGATTTGAAAAGTCCTATTACTTTCTGATTGGATTTGTTTTATTGTTTATTATTATAACTTTATTTCACTAAACAATTGTTCTATGTTTGATTGTTCTATTTCAATTAAAACATTTTAATAAATACATTTAGGAAGCAATTCATATCTCTTAAGTTCTCATCCTTGCATTGGAATATATAGAGCAGTTCATAGTTTGATGGTATCATGTGGTAATGCTCCATCACATGTTTAAATCTATAACACAGTGAATATTGAACTGAAGCTTGACTTTAAAAAAATGTAATCGCAAATCAAATCGCAATCGCAATATGTCAGAAAAAATCGCAATTAGATATTTTCCCCAAATCGTTCAACCCTACTATGAAGGCAAGCAGGACATGGCACACAAGGGGGTGGGTGTGTGGCCAGCAGGACACACGTTAGCGTGCACACACACCGGTGAGGAAATGAAGGGGAAGCCTTTGAGGAGCACTGGCACTTGGGTGTATCTTCATGACATGTTGATAGATTTTCCACCGATCTTCCTCCGACTCTGTTGAAAATGACATTGAGCAAGTGATCAACAAATCCATATATTCCACCTTCATAGAGTCGGTTACTCTGAAAAGTTACCGGGAAACTGTTTGGGGAGTGCCTCATAGCTCTAAAATTCACGGGATCATCATCACAGGAATCTGGCGAAGCTATGGATGCACGTACATCGAGGTGTGCCCGTATAACAAATCGAATTTACTAAATTTCTAGGAATGACATCGCGGCATCTTTAACGTCAACTTTACAGTTAATGCATCCACAATATTGACCAGGGCGGCATGCCCCATTCGAACCGCAAACCTCTGCAAGAAGAGCCGAACGCGATAACTGCTGGGTGCCACGCGTCAATGCCCCGATCTCGTCAACAACCTCTCGCGTAGTTCTGCACTCATCAACGCATTGATCAGCACCCACCCCATGCGTCAACACACCAATCGGCACCCACCCCCACGCGTCAACGCACCGATCGGCACCCACCCGCACTCGTCAACGCATTGATCGGCACCTACCCACGCGCGTCAACGCACCTATCGGCACCCACCCGCACTCGTCAACGCATTGATCGGCACCTACCCCCACACGTCAACGCACCGATCGGCACCCACCCGCACTCGTCAACGGCATTGATCGGCACCTACCCCCACACGTCAACGCACCGATCGGCACCCACCCGCACTCGTCAACGCATTGATCGGCACCTACCCGCGCGCGTCAACGCACCTATCGGCACCTACCCGCGCGCGTGGCCTGCTCCAACCTCTGGTAGTAGGTCCAGTTCTCGGGATTCCTCATCACGAGGCCGTGGAACAGCTCGGCCGCCTCTTCGAAACATCCCAGAGCCAACAGCAGCTCCCCTGGGCGCGGCAAGCACCGTTCAGCAAATACAACGCGACTACATTTACCTTCCAACTAATTATGTTGGCAGTTGTTCTGAACAAGCACAGTAAACAACAATAGCACTCAACACGTTCACCAATAACACTGTGTGTGCATGGCCTTGAAAGAAGAAATACGTAATAGGCGATATTTCAGGGAACGGCCCTTCTTCATGACATGTAAATAGAGAGCCCAGAAGAGGGATAGAGTCGGAGACCACTTGTTGACAACATGTGTGTCTGGTAGGATTTACATAAAAATATAATTCTGATTTGCAGTTTTATAAACGAGCACATGAATAAATCTTGACTTAAAGCTTTCTTGACTGCAGGAATTCATATTCTTTGGGTCTTTCGGTAAAGTCACGTAGATGGTTCAGAGAAAATAAAAAACTACTGACGTTTCGATCAAAACACAAGCAATCGTCATCCTCCTCACTCTCTTGAAGACAATCGCTTGTGTTGTGAAAGGTTGTAGTATTTATTTTTATTTTCTTTGAACCATCTACGTGACTTTACCGAAAGACCAAAAGAATATGAGCACATGAATAGTTGCACAATTATTACCTACTGAGCACCAGACAAACACGAAATATTGTAAACTGGAAATTAATCAATCGAGGGATACCTGTATACAATAATAGCTGTTGTGGGTTTGCTCTCTAACGCACAGCGATGGTGCTGAAGAAGCAATACGCTGATTGGCACGTTCTGTTTTAGTGTTATAGTTAAGCACCTCTGTGTTCGTCCAGCGCCTGCTTGTCGCAGATTTGCTCGCTGTGCTGGGCGAGGTGCGCGAGAGCTTCCCTCCGCATGCCGGCCTCAGCCATCAGCTCCGCCTGGTACAGCATGAGCTCGCTGTGCTGATTGCCTCGTGCGTCACCCATCACCTGCGAAAGCCACGCAGCTGCATTATAACCCACTCGCCACTACCACCTACTCCTGCCGCCATCACTACTACAGCCACCACCACCATCACCACCACTGCCATCACTACCGCTCCAGTTTCCTCCCACAAATAAACAATCATTATTTGGCCAATCACACCTTAATATATATAGGACCGCAGAGCTTTAGGGTAGAAAAGACAGATGGAGGCGTAAGAGCACAATGGGAAAGACTGCACACGTGGTGACAGTAGCGACGTGCGGCTGGAAAATCGGTGCCAGTCCAGTTGCACCACCTGCGTACTCGACAACTACGTCGCCACGCATACACACATGCACTTAAGGTGGCTAAAATTGAGACAAGAGGGGGCACATTTGGTGCATCTGCCAGCCATACCAATCAGTCAATCCATGGCACCTGGGTTTGTCCTGGGACCTCCTATCAGTGAGCCTTCGACACTTCACGTGGCCTGAAAGTGCACCTTGCCTGGCACAGGCGGCCTGGTAACATCACCTCCACTTCGTGGTGAATGCCGGTTGTTGTTGTGTGTACGTGGGTGCATGTGGGCGTGGGTGCATGTGTGGGTGGGTTGCGTGTGTGCGTGCGAGTGTGTGTGTGGGCGCTGTGTATGTGTGCGCATGCGCTGTGTGTGAGAGTGCGTGGGTGCGTGTGTGAGTGGGTATGTGTGTGCATGGTCAGTAAAACAACCCCCTATCTCCTCGTGGTGCCGGACGGGCAACGCTGTTGTGGACAGTGCTGTTAGAGGGAGGGCCAATTCCGATTGGCCTTTCCCCTCATGGCGTCTGTGACCACCACAGCGGCTAAATGATGGCTCTGGACGGGTGCAAGGGGCTGGTAACCCCTCCACCTTAAAAAAACTACCATTAAACTACGACCGAAAAATGTAATTAACAAGCTTGTGCCGGAGGCCCCGGGGGGACAGGCTACTATGACGTCTCCTGGCCAAACCCCATTTGGTGGAGCCAGGAGATTGAATCTTTACCCTCGGGGCTCCTCCAGAAACAACAAAAAGCCAATACGGATGGCCACGTGGAATGTTGGAATGCTCACTGTGGAGGAGAGGCTGCCACTCCTCTGTCGGGAGCTGGACCGGTACCGCCTGGATCTCTGTGGTATTCAGGAGGTCCGGTGGACCGGCTCTGGCTCCTGCCACCATGAGGGGTGGACAGTCCTATATTCGGGGCAGGCGACTGCCAAACAACAGGGAGTGGCTCTTCTTCTGAACAAAAGAATGAAGGGGGCGTGGGGGCGTGGGAGCTTGGTGGTGAGGTGTGGGAAGCTGTAAGCCCCAGGCTTACAGCTTCCCCCAATGAAGACGAACATCCGTGGAGGGATGCAGGCAAGGCTGATGAGTCAGATGCCTTGTATGACCTCCTGTCACAGGTGCTAGCTAAAGTGGCCCCTCGGGATAGTCATCTTGTTGGGTGACTATAATGCACGAGTTGGTCATGATGCTGGCACCTGGTCTGGGGTGATTGGAAGGCATGGGGCCAGATCAGCTCAATAACAACGGTAAGAGGCTGCTAGATTTTTGTGCAGCCCATGGGCTTGTAATTACCAACACGCTGTTCCGGCATCGGCGTATCCATACAACATCATGGATGCATGCCGGGTCCAAGCAAGAACATCTGCTGGACTACGTAGTGACGGACCAGCAGATGCGGGCCCATTTCCGTGACACCAGGACCTACCGTGGAGCTGATCTACCCTCTGACCATCGACTAGTCATCTGTAAGATGCGCCTGCCATTCTTCCACTCCGGTGGTGGGTGTACACCCAGGACCCCATTCCAACCTAAGGTGGCCTGGTCTCAGCTAGCTGATGAAAGTTGCAAGCGAGAATTTCATCATAGCTTGCGGCTGGGGTTGGCATCGTCCCCCACTCCTCCAGATGTCGAGGGTAAATGGGCGAGGTTTAGGACTGTGACTCAGGCAGCTGCAATGGCTGCTTTGGGTACCCGGTCCAGACCTCCCCAGAGACCCTGGCTGACAGAGGAGGTGTTCAAGCTGGCTGAGAAAAAGCGACATGCCCACTCTCATAGGCTACAGCATCCCACATCGGAGAATGAGGAGGCTTACCGTAGCCTTCGCTCGGAGGTTCGGAGAGCCATGAGGCGCTGCAAGGATGGGTGGTGGTCGCAGGTTGCTGAGGAGAAGGAATTTGCCTCAATGGCCCGCGATCACAAATCACTATTTAATTCCATCAAAAAAGTGACCTACAGCACCATCCTATTACCATCATTAGGGGAAAAAAAGGTGATCCAATCTCCGACCCCCAGGAACAGGTTTGCAGATTTGCTGAGCATTTCTGTGAAGTCCTGGAGGAGGGGAAATCCCTCCACATGGAAAACATTGTGGGGCAAAGTGGGGAAGACCCTGCTGAGGCTGCGGTGCCTCAAATATTGGAAGAGGAAGTCACCCCCTGTGAGTGGCTGTCTGAGGTGCCATCTGTTGAGGAAGTACTGAAGGCTATCCAGAGTCTGAGACCAGGAAAGGCACCGGGCAGAGATGATCTCCCAAGCGAAATGTTGAGGGAGGGTGGCGTTTGTGCACAGACTGTCCTACGTGACATCATATCAACAGTCTGGACCACTGGATGGGTTCCGCAGGACTGGAAGGATGCCCTGGTGGTCCCCATCTTTAAAAAGGGAGACCGCACAGACTGTAACAACTACAGGGGAATCTCACTCTTCAGTGTGCTGGGAAAGGTCCTGGCAAAGATTATTCAACACTGCCTTGCCAGGCAAGCTGAGGAGAGGCTTGCAGAGCCCCAATGTGGTTTCAGGAAAGGGCGGTCCTGCACAGATGCCATATTTCTTGTCCGTTTGCTACAGCAGAGGTGTAGGGAATTCCAACAAGATCATTAAGGACCTTCATGATGGTGAGCGGGCCCGGGTAAAACTACGTGGCCGGGAGTCGGAGCCATTCCCTGTTCACCTTGGGCTGCCACAGGGATGTCCTCTGGCTCCAACATTATTTAACATCTATTTCGACCACATAGTTCATGAAGCCTTCAGTAGCTGTACCGGACAGATACAATGGGAGGCTGATCGATGCCCGGGTGCGGTCAAGGGATGGCTCCCTATTGGTCAACCACATTATGTATGCCGATGACCTGGTAATTGCGGCTCACTCAGAGGAGGAGTTGGAAACACTGCTGCTGAAACTGGAGTGTGCCACTAAGAAGTGGGGCCTTACCATCAACCTCACCAAAACGAAGCACCTGCCTGGGTATATTGTAACATCGGGTACTCCACCCCCACAACTTCCAATCGGTGATGGGGCAGTTGTGGAGAGAGTGGAGAGTATCCCATACCTGGGCAGTGTGTTCATGACCGGCTCCGGTTTAACAGCAGAGGTCTCACTCCGAATCAGTCGAGCGGCATTATCTTTTCGTTGGTTGCGTAACGCTGTGTGGAAGCTACCTGGTCTGTCGCTCTACGGTTGCGAAACGTGGACCCCCCTAATGGAACATCTTCGCCGGTTAGAAACATTTAGGCTGGCCTGCCTGCGATCCATCCTGGGTTTAACCAGGCTGGATTGTGTGAAGAGCTCACAAATCCTTGAAAGATCTGGGCAAAGTCCCATCGGTGAGCTCCTCTGGCAGGCAAGGCTGCATTGGCTGGGCCATGTAGCCCGCATGCCCAATCACCGCATGCCGAAACAGCTTTTGTTCGGCCGGATCGAGGGGGCTAAATTGGCGCGGTACGGGCTCTAGAAGAGATGGAGTGATGTGGTACAGGAGGATGTGGAGCTGAGTGGACTTGCCGATGACTGGTACCAGCGGTGTAAAAAACGGCCTCTGTGGAGGAGGCTCGTGAAGGACGCTACTGGGCAGTTGGAGGCAGTCGCCCTCCAACAACAATGGAGGGCGGAGGAGCGACGCTCACAACAACGAGCAGAGCGCTGGGTGGCTAAAGCACAGCAAGTTGGCACATTAGGGGGCACAGGTGGTGCATCAGCCAGTCATCTCAGTCGACCCGTGGCACCTGGGTCTGCCCCGTGACCTCCTGCCAGCGGGCGTTCGACACCTCATGTGGCCTCAAGGTGCATATAGCCTGGCACAAGCGTCGTGGTGACGTCACCGCCACTTAGTGGCGAATGGCGGTTGTTGTTGTTGTGTGCGTGGGTACATGTGTGCGTATGTGCGCTGTGTGTCTATGTGTGTGTGTGTGCGCTGTGTGTCTACGTGTGTGCGTGTGTGCCTGCGTGTGCGCTGTGCCGCGGTACCGGGTGTCTCGTGAGCAGATCCTGTAGTGCCTGCAGAGCCTCCGCCGGCTCCCCCAACAGGTGGCATGCAACAGCGTAGCCCAGCCATGGCGCGGGCACCGAGGGCAGCGAGTGCAGGAGCCGCGCCTGAGACTCCTGCCGGGTCGAGTCGGCGTAGCAGTAGCGCAGTAGTGACGGATCCGGGGGGGAGGGGGGGGAGGAGTAGGGACAGGGAGGAGTGTTACCCCCCTCACATGCATGGATTTCTCCGGGTGCTCCAGTTTTCTCCCACAAGTAAACACTAATTCATTGGGTTAAAACATCGTCGTATTTAAAGGACCACAGAGCTTGTGTTCATTGCACTCCTTCCCCCCACCTTTGATATTACATATTACTGGAGTAAATCATGTTTTCAAACATGTTTTTTTTTGGTAGCCAAAACTCCTATACAGGTTGGCCCAAAAGTCAGGAAACATAAGATTATTCTATTTAACAAAGGAACCTTATGGCGAGACCCCGGGGTCCCATAAGCCACTCGCTCTCGCATAAACTGCGTTGCGACGTCATTTTGTGTTTGTTGAAGACGAACGATACGGTAATCTATTCCTCTTGAAGAGCTCTACACGATGCGCTAATCAAAGTTTCAAAGTTTTGTTTATGACTACGGCAATTTTGGCAACGACGGGTGCTTGGTGAAGAACGAGAGGATTTATTTCTGGTGGGTCGTGGCGTTTATGTGCGCGGTGGGACGGAGTCGCCAAAATTTTATTAATTACGATTTTCACTTCCGTTTATTTGGGACCCCGGGGTCCCACCATAAGGTTCAAATCAAAAACTGTTATTTCATTTATTCCAGTACATCTTCCAAATGACTCCCATTAACATTCATGTACGTTGTATGAATTATCTTTTGAAATGAATTTAGAACTTTTTTGAGATGAGAGGTGTAACCTTTGAACATGTATAAATTGTTTCACCTCAATTAATTAATTCAGGGTTCTTTATCAAGTTTTGTAAACGACGGATATGAGTTGACTTCACAGGGAGAACAAAAATAGATATCAATGATGATAGAAAAAATAGTAACTTAAAGAATACACTTTTGGGCAACCCTGGATATACCGATTGTGCTTGGAATTCCGAATGGCCATGCGCCGTGCATGGCAGAGAATGGCTAAAGAGATTCTGTCCACAGAATTTCTCACAAATAATTCCGTGCCAGTGGACCTCGTACCTTTACACCGTAGGGCACACAATCTCCCACACACACGCATGCAATATGTCAGCATGATACCACCACGTGGTTATCATGCTGACATATTGCATTCTCACAACTGAATTTCATTAAAATCAAACCCATCATCTCATCTCCCCTCACCCATCCTCCTGCTCTTGCCCGCCCACCTGCTACGACCAGGCCTACCCCAACCTCTACCCTATTACCACCCTTACACCTATCACTACCCCGACCACTTTCACTATCCCTATTACTACCCCAACCCCTCCTTAACCACTCCCACCTGTTTTCCTTTCACCACAAATACACCACCACATTTAATAGCACAGATGAACCTCCGATTAGCAGTTGTCTAGGTACGGTGAAAAAGAAGTTCAACATGAATACAACAACCCCACTCCTTACTTATCTCAACCACTACCATCTAATGTACAATTTTATGATGGTTGCAAACAGCCGTGGATTAGGGCGCTATATCAATATATATAAGATATAAGAACCACAATGTATGTGATGCTCATGTTTTTGTGTAGCCAATGGTGACTGGGGCAACGTGCAACTGATTTAGTGGGGCGGTGACACAGCCCGGCGGTGGCACATTCGCCGTTTCATGGCGGACGTTAAAGATCTCCTGGCACCGTTGGAAGCGAGCAAAGCGGGCCACTGTGTGCCAGCATTACGATCCAAATTTGATGGGACGATAATTTCGGCAGCCTTATTATAGCTCCTGCGGAGGGCTTCTCAGCGCCTCGCCCGTCACCCCCACTGATGCCCCCCCCCCCTTCCCAATGTTTGCAGATACTACTGACGTTATTGTATGTAGAGTGTGTAGGCATATATGCCTAGAAAAGACATTTTTTTGGGGGGGGGGGGTGTGGTCAAAAACATTTGGGGGGGGGGGGTCGACAATTTTTGGAAACCTGTCAGATCAACTTTTTACCCCATCTGGGGGCTCCACTTTTCATATTTTTTTTCATTCAGGACTTCTGAAAGGCTCTTATAATTTAGTGGATGGACAGACGGATAAACGTATAAACGGAATGCTGGGCTTTTATAATAAATTAGCTAAGTTACCCGGCTTCACACAGGTCGCAGTAATCAAGTGGTAAGAGTAATGCTATTGCCATGCTGTCCTCGTAGAATAATTGAATGCTTCTAGATTTGAAGCTTTCGTGACTGCAAGGATTCATATTCTTAGGTTTTTTCGGTAAAGTCACGTAGGTAAAAAATTTTATTAATAAAAGTAAAATAAAACAAAATAAAAAATCACGACGTTTCAGAAGCAACACAAGCCTCCGTCTTCAGGTGGAACCGTCACAGCCACGACAGCTGTATCAAGTAAATGAGAGATCACAAGAAATACCACCCCGTATATATAATGGTTGAGGGGGGAAGGGCCAGGAACGGCACACTTTTTATTAATATGGTAAGGTGAGGCCTAAGACTAAGAATAGACTGCATAACACAGGACTGAGTCTTTGTTATGGGGAGGTGTGGTTTGTAACTAACACCTAGCATACATAACACAAGTGTGAAAAAAGAAAGCAAGTAAAAACTAAAACTGGTAAAACAACAAACTGGCTGTCTATCAATAACCTGTAATAGTTGTCTGCTAAATAAGATGGTCCAAATAAGTGTAGTTACATCTTTTTTGCATGGTTAATCACATCTTTCCAATGATTACTCAGTTTGTAACCCTCATCACGGTTGAAATTATGTCCTGTGTTTGTATATTTGTATGGCTTCAGTGTACAAACCTTTGATGGTAGCCAGGAGATTTGTAGAGCACCTTGGTCCCGAAAAAACCTAAGAATAATTGAATGCTGCAAATGAAGTCGGTAAATCTGTATTTTGTTAAGGTATTTTGGTTGTCTGATACAGTCGCAGGTTTGTTTGTTTGATATGACATCTTATAAATGTGTTACCCTTATAGAGCTTCAGTATAGACAATGTTGGATGTATTGTCATCTGGTGCTAATATGAAAAGGTTTTTTGCATTACCAACTCTGAAGCAACCAACAAAGAGTTGGCCATGAGAGAAGCATGGGCTTAGCAGGTTGAGGCCAACAACTTTGAGTGATTGACCCTGTGCTTTGTTGATGCTCATTGTGAAACTGAGGTGGACAAGGAATTGAAGGCATTTGAATATCAGAGCAGGTCAGAGGGAATGAGTGGAATGAAGACATGGTGTGCTGCTGTATGGCCAGTCATGATGGTAGCTTTAATTACATGGGGCATCATTGTCTTCACAGCAAATAATGTACCATTGCAAAGTGTTGGTGGGTCTAGATCCCTGAGAAGCATGATGGGTGCACCAATCTTGAGATTGAGTTTGCATTGAGGCACAGCCAGTGGTTGTGGAGAGTTGAGAAATTCTATAGGGTAGTTGACTGCCTCAGTAGTTTCCAGTACAGTGGCAATTGACTTGAATGAGTGAGGAGTGCCTGGCAAATTAGAAAAGATGTTGTTAGTGATATTGACAGCATTATTTTTGGTGTGAGGATGGCTCTTTCGCATAGCCACTTGTGGTCAAGGAAGTGGCATGTCACATCACCAAAGACAGCTTCTTTAAGTTTGTGAAGTGTTCCAACTGTAGGACTCGTACTGACGCGACAGCTTCTTTGTCTTTCCTTGGTTCTTTATTAACTTATATAGTTCCACATCTCCTCCGTCGACATCACTCAACGTTCCTTCGTACACTCCAACTCACAACCCCCCGTCAACATCACTCAATGTCCCTCCGCTCCTCCAGCGATCCTCTCTCTCTCTCCAACTCAGCTGCTCTTTGTTAACTCTGTCGTCCCACTCCGTCGTAACTCTCCGTCGTCTCTCTCTCCACTCAGGTCCGTTACTCCGCTGCTATCCTACGCTGTACTCGCTCCATCCACTGCTACTCTATACTGTATTCTCTCTATCCACTGCTACCGTATACTGTATTCTTTCTATCCTCTGCTACCTTATACTGTACTCTTCTATCCACTGCTACCCTATGCTATACTCACTCTATCCGCTGCTGCGTCTCGCCATCCGTTCGTATCTCGTCCCAGACACCAACTCCCCGTTTCACTCCACGCTCTCCACTTTTATCCCTGAACCAATTCCTCTTAATTAATTGGGTCATCCCCCGCGACGCCACTCGCCCCCCCGTGGCGTTGTTGTTGCAGACACACTGGCGCCAATTCCAGACGCCAATACCTCTCGTACAATCACCGGCCTGCGTCCTAAATTACCCCCGGCCACAGGGCGCTGAGCAACAGTAAGTTGCTCAGCGCCCTGTGTCCTCGTTTGCCCTCACTGTCCGCCACGTGCACGCATACCGACCCCGCGCGTGACGCGTGTTTCTCAAGCCCTACACAACTGTTGTGTCAATGCTAGTTATCCAGATACTTTGATCTGCATTGTCAGGTAGTATGGCTCCATTACCAATTTTGACCAGACTTGCAGCAATGTACTCACATATTGATGTTTAGGCTAAGCTGCTGAATGCCTTTCCAAATGTATGCTTTGAGGCAGGCGTGGAGTTAATCAGCTTTCGTTCCACGTGGAATGACCGACAGCGTTTGTCGGAAATCCACAGCCTCCCATTGTTTTGTCATTATGACAAAGGTCTTGCAGGGTGCGATCAACAGCCTCTAAGGCAGCTTTGTGAGACATTGTGCACTCATCCCAGACAATGAGGTGGCACTGCTGCAGGACCGTGGCTTTGCCAGTGGGCCTGGCAATGTTGCAGGTAGGTGCCTCTGCGTTAGCAAAATTGAAGGGCAATTTGAATTTAAGGGCAATTTATGTTGCCCTGGTGGATTTCAGAAAAAAAAGATTGATGAAGAAAGTTTTGCCAGCTCCACCCAGATCATTAAGAAAATAGCACCACTGCCCATGAAAACAGCAGTAGTAATCTTGTAGAAGGCTTCTATTTGGC